AAGGGGAAGACAAAAATCCTATTTAGTACATACCATCTCCTGATAGAACTGTCTGATGGGTTAGCAGAATAACACATGACACAAATTGATTCAACCTTTCAAAGGTCTAGTTAGTTTTCTGTATTTGTTTACAATGAAATTGCCATGCAAGTTCTGCAGTTGTCTACATTGCGCCAGGACACGTGCAGCTTTGATCTGGTTAGGAGGAGTTGTAGGGAATTAGTATCATGGGAACCACATGAACAAAACAAAATGTTCCTTTTTCTCATACTTATATGTTTTACATGTGTTATTACATGTGTTATTACATGTGGTATTACATGTGTTATTGCATGTGTTATTACATGTGTTATTACATGTGTTATTACATGTGTTATTACATGTTGTGGACAAGTGAGACAAGTCTAATGAGGTTGTTACATGAACTTGAATTTACTGCGGCAAATACTGTTTTTCACAGACAGAAACTAATAATAATGCCCACTGATACAAACCACTCGGTTATAAAGTTGTAGATCTGACACAGCTTCTCCTGCAACCATTTATCATTTTTTGCAGATGAAACATTTTTTTTTCTTGTTAATATTTTTTTTTTAACATATTGTGGCCAAAAAATAGATAAAATATTTTTTGTTATTATTTAAAAAATACTTTTGATGTAGTAGAATTACGTTTATTGTTGCAAATTGAAATATATGTTTGAATATGTTCAAGGGGATGTGGAGTTTCTGGCGTGCCTGATGTGGCACAGTCTGGGTAGTTGTTCAGCAGGGTCATGTGACACGGTAATGAGGTGATAGTTGTAGGTGTTGACAGCGTAGTGGAACTTGTTTTCTACTCATGGGGTCCCTGCCTATTGTTTGCTATACATCAGTAGGACTGTTGTCATGGAAACAGCATAGACCACATCATGACATTATTGAAATGGACAGAGTGCACAAAGGACATTAGTGTGGTATCAGGGATTTTCCTAGGATTCTAAACTAAGTGAACTTGAATTTACTTTGGTAAATACTGTTTTTCTTTGAAGATAAAGAACAATTACTGAAGACATATTTAATGCCTCAATAAAACATTAAATCATCCCAACTATTAGTTAAACTGGAACAAATGAAGTAGCTGCCTTTGTGGTTTTGAATTCTTTGAGTTCTGTTCTCTCCGATTAATGTCAAATTGAGAAAATATTATCAAATAGGAAAAAATGAAAATATGACTTCCAAATGTGCCTGTCTTCACCAAAGAATATTTGGTAAGGCAGTTCTATGATGCCAAAGGTAAACCGGATGTTTAGTACTGCTCTCATCTCATAGTCCAGACATATAATATTGTTACCATGTCGTAGGTCAACTGGTCTAATAATAAACTAATAAATAAATCACGTCATGGGTTTATTTGACTTTTCGTTTTGGCTGATTAAGAATTTCATGTAAGTGGTAACATCCTTGAATCAGCAGCCAGGTGACATGTTGAAGTGAGGGGAGATAGGAGTCTCCCAGTCATGGTAAGAATGGACGTGAATGTGAGGCTTGAGAACTGCACCTCCAGGATCGGCGCCATGCGGCAGTGTTGATGAAGTAACCATGCTGTAGGTGAAGGGTTGCCTCTCCTCCTTTATCAAGAGAACAGAAGCTATCTATATTCCGTGTGGAGAGTGGAGAGAAAGCGTATTTCACAGACAGAGAAACTAATAATATTGCCCACTGATGCAAAGCGTTCAGTTATAAAGTTGTAGATTTGCCACAGTTTCTCCCACAAACATTTATCATTTTTGGCAGATGAAACATTTTTCAATATCATTGTGAAGATTTTGGGTTTGATGAAGTAGAGTTTTTAGTTCTTTTAGCATATTGTGGCCAAAAAATAGATGAAATATTTTTCGTTATAATTTAAAAAATACTTTTGATGAAGTAGAATTATGTTTATTGTTGCAAATTGAAATATATGTTTGAATATGTTCAAGGGGATGTGGTGTTTCTGGCGTGCCTGATGTGGCACAGTCTGGGTAGTTGTTCAGCAGGGTCATGTGACACGGTAATGAGGTGATAGTTGTAGGTGTTGACAGCGTACGTAGAACTTGTTTTATACTCCTGGGGTCCCTGTCTATTGTTTGCTATACATCACTAGGACTGTTGTCAGGGAAACAGCATAGACCACATCATGACATTATTGAAATGGACAGAGTGCACAAAGGACATCAGTGTGGTATCAGGGATTTTGCTAAGATTCTAAACTAAGTGATACTGTGAAGCAAATTGATTTTTTTTGTACCTTGTTCCAAATTGAATTTTGGAAGTAAAATATTTTTTGATTCAGAGGTATTTTAACATTGTATTTTGAGTTAGCACAGAATGCAATAAGCTAAAACTAGCATTAAAATCGCTTCCTCTTTATTAGTTCTACTGGTTACTTATTACGATTATATGACAGCATACTGATCATGTGGTATAACACGATTATATGACAGTATATTGATCATGTGGTATAACACGATTATATGACAGTATACTGATCATGTGGTATAACATGAATATATGACAGCATACTGATCATGTGGTATAACACGATTAAATGACAGCATATTGATCATGTGGTATAACACGATTATATGACAGTATATTGATCATGTGGTATAACACGATTATATGACAGTATACTGATCATGTGGTATAACATGAATATATGACAGCATACTGATCATGTGGTATAACACGATTAAATGACAGCATATTGATCATGTGGTATAACACGATTATATGATAGCATATTGATCATGTGTTATAACACGATTATATGACAGCATACTGATCATGTGGTATAACATGACTATATCCCACTATATGAAGGTGAAGGTCATATCCTCTACATTGTGTCTGTCAACTGCCATCTTTTTTCACCTCAGATAGAGATAGTCCATGAAAGACCCTAACTTGCACCGTCTATTTATTCTTTGTTTAAACCATTTAATGTACAGGAAGCTGCAGGGGTTGTTAGCTGGAAGGCATGAAGAGAAACATGTGACATACAGCCGGAACAAGGCTCCTGGTCATGTGAGGCATGGTGTTCAACATGCAAGACATGTGTAGTTGTCAGGCAAGCACTACACAGATCACGACATGATTTGTTGTGCTTTTGGTGGGGAGCTCTCAGATTAATCAAGGCAACCTGTTTGGCAAACAGACCACATCCATCCCTCGCGTGTGGCAAGAGCAGTCCATAGTCTGTAGCACAGTGCAGGATAGGAAGCACAGTCCTGTTTTTTGCCAGGCAGTGATCAAATTAAGACACCAGCATTACACCAAATGTGCAGCGTCTTGGCTAGGTTCCTTGACATGAAGCTTGAAATTGTCCATCAGGTGGGAGGGTTCTGGTTTCAAGGCAAATTTACGTTGTGATTGTCTGAGAAGTTGGTCCTGACATTTTGATAACGCTACTTTTGCTGGTGATCATGTGATCAGATTTCATACCTTCCTTCCATGTGATTGGGTATTTGTGGAAATACAGCCATTTGATTGGCTGAGAGAAGTTATGTCATGTTGGATATTAGTTTTCCAATGGGCTCTCATGGAAAGTATTTCTTGAGAAATAGTGGTTTTAATATGTGACAAAACTCTGAGTATTGCAGAGGAGGTATTGTCTTGTTGTTAGATGTGTCTATTGTTGTTGTGTCTTGTTGAAGCTCCGTTTTGTTGTTAGACCCTGTGGGGATCCACAGCATCCTTTGCTGGTCGTAAGAATGACAAAATGGATCAGGTGGTCAGGCTCGGTGAGATTTGGTTGATTGGATGTCATGGTCCTCCGTCTACATGGATTGTTGCTCACACTGTCGATCACTGGAATGTCTAGTCCAGATTTGGTTATTTACAGGCTGTTGTCATAGAGATGAAATATTGTTAAGTGCAGTGTTAAACAACAAACAAATAGGCTTGTTGTTAGACGTGTTTGGAGTGCTGTTTAACCTTTGCTCTGCGGTATGAGACCTTGGCCCACTTGCACAAAGCGGCCTTAATGCTACGACTATTGTAAGCCTATGTTGAAGTATGGGATCATCTTAGCGCAAAGATTGCTTTGTGCAAGCGGGCCCTGGAGCCATTACTTCAAGGTTTTGTTCTATGGTTTCCCCAGGTTGTCTCCCTGCAAAGCAGACTGTTGTAATTCATCTCAGTGCTCGGGGCACGGGTGGCCCAGTCGTCTAAGGCGCCGCAGTTCACTGTGCAGAGTTGCGTCCCTTGGGCACGCCAGATACCTATGATTGTGGTTTCGAAATCTGGTTCGCCCAATTATGTTTCCAGTTTTGTCAGAACCATACCTGTGCTCGTGGGTTTCACGTCCGTAAACGTAGTAAACGTCCGAGACCTGCATCACTTCGGGCTTTCCTCCCACATTAAGCTGACATGCCGTGATATAACAGGAATACTGTTAAAAGCAGCGTTAAACCCAACTCACTCACTCCGTCATCTAAGCATTTAGCAGTGTATACTCCCCTTTCGTATAGATAGCCACATTTCGGCCTGTTTTGTCTTTATCACCTTGAAAAGCTTGAAAAAGTATTCTTGAGGCAATGTTTAGAGGATTGATAAAGTTAACAACCTCAAATCAAATTACAGAAGCAGTTTATGTCATCACGGTGTGAAACTAACTCCCGGTGTGCTGCAGTGTCGACAGTCAATCACATCTGTCAAACTAAAAGCAGTTTGAAAGTCATGTGTATTTGACATTTCAAATGAACACAAATTTGAGAACATTGTGTAATGGATGAGGACGAAGTGGTTAAAAATGGTTTCGCTCCACATGCAGAGAAGAGGATGTTTTCATTGCCGGTGCCGCCATTACTTGCTTCCAGTTTGGTGCTGCTATGTGGCCATTTGTGTCCTCAGAAAACAGTCTTGTAAAAACATGTGTAATTATTCGAGAGAAGGAACTCCCCCCAGGGCACGTTCAGTCTCGTGTTTGACTGATAGTCAATGTAAATTTCTAATGATTTTATTGTTTTTTCTTTGCAGGAATCTAAGTCACAACCAAATAACAATAATTGAACCCGGGGCCTTTGCCGGACTGGAGAGTTTGCGCCGATTGTAAGTATAGAGCAATTATGTAGATGATGTATGTGTAGAATTAGCTGGCTGCATGTGATGTTTAGCATTGGTTTTATTGTATCACCGCACCACTGTTTATGCTGTTCCATTTGAAGAAATTGCCAAGCAATTCAATCTCATCCACAGGCTGCCGTACCATTAATTTTCAAATAACATCAATCACAGTTAATTAATCTATTATCCATATTGAATAAAATAAGTATAAAAATACTGATGTTCAACCTATAGTGTCCCGTTGTGTGTGTTTGTCGGTGTAAGGGCAGAATATAGGCCTCTCTGCCTTGGATGGTTTAACTAGGGACATTACAGTATGGATAGACTTGAAGTGGCTGTTTACTTGGAGATAATACAATATTGATAGACTGGATGAGGCTTAGACTAACATCTAGTCTCTGAAATGAACATATCATACAGAAAAAACAGTTGTTCAGTTATCTTAATAAAAATATAATAAAAAGGGAGCCCAGTGATTCTCTTCATACTGCAGTAATCTAGACTTGCCAAACATTAGACTTGCATGGGCTGTATTTGATTTATATTTGTATCAGGGTCTGTAAGGCTGTTAACTTGGGTATATCACAGTATTGATAGACTTGATGAGGCTGTTAACTAGGGACATTACAGTATGCATAGACTTGAAGTGGCTGTTTACTTGGAGATATCACAGTATTGATAGACTTGATGAGGCTGTTAACGTGGGTATATCACAGTATTGATGGACTTGATGAGGCTGTTAACTAGGGACATTACAGTATGCATAGACTTGAAGTGGCTGTTTACTTGGAGATATTACGGTATGGATAGACTGGATGAGGCTGTTAACTTGGGTATATCACAGTATTGATGGACTTGATGAGGCTGTTAACTTGGGTATATCACAGTATTGATGGACTTGATGAGGCTGTTAACTAGGGACATTACAGTATGGATAGACTTGAAATGGCTGTTTACTTGGAGATATCACAGTATTGATAGACTTGATGAGGCTGTTAACGTGGGTATATCACAGTATTGATAGACAGACAGCATATTTGAACAAATAAAATATTTTTTTACCATATGTTTCTTTTCTTTGCAACATATTGCCCTTATGACAAAGTTAGGAAAAAAGTGAAAACAGGTGCTTTATGCATATCTAAATCTTCGTCAATATTAATGAACTTATCTTTGTTCTTATTGACTGACGTGTCCTGTTTGATGTTTGGCCAGCCTGATGAATGAATTAGTTTATGCAGTGTCCACATTCCTAAGCTTGTCACCACATGTCAAGGATGTGATGACAGGATGACAGGAATATTGCTGTGACAAGCTGAATCTGACATGGATCTGGTTGTCCCAGGCCATGTGCTCACTATGAAGGGCTGCCTACGATTGTGTGGCTAAATCCAAGAGGGGAGGTCGGGTAGCCTAGTGGTTAAAGCGTTCGCTCGTAAAGCCGTAGACCCGGGTTCGATTCCCGACATGGGTACAATGTGTGAAGCCCATTTCTGGTGTCCCCCGCCATGATATTGCAGGAATATTGCTAAAAGCGGCGTAAAACCATACCCACTCACTCATTCTTCCCCAGAGAGAAGGAATAACCCAGGCCTGTTCTTGGCCACCCCCTCAAATTTTAAACATGGATTTTTCATTCATGAGGATCCTGTATTTCTATGTTTCCAGGAGCCTAAAATTAAGAAGGAAAATCTATTATGAGGAGTGTTTTTTTAGAACTCACTCAGTAAATCCAAGATGCACCCTGATCATGACTGTTGGTTTGCCCCAGTTCTAATGGGTTTCATTTACCTAAGTGGTAAAACAACAAAGATTTGCATTATTTTGGGTACTTCTTCCATGATAAGCTGCCAGTGAAATAACTGAGTAGAGTTAAGATGAAATGGGGTTTAAGGCCAGACCAGTCATTGTTTTTGCCCCTTATTGCCGAGCGCTAGGCATGGTTACAATAAGTAACATCTTTTGGAATGACGCAGTCGGTTATCGAACACTGGACCTTTTGCTCTCTGGGCAGACGCCAAACCACTAGACCACGGAGGCGGTCTGATATATAACGGAAATACTGTACATTATGTGAAAAAAGTGTCGCTCATTCACTCACTCACTAACTCACTCACTCACCCACTCACCCACTCACTCACTCACTCACTCACTCACTCACTCTCACTCCAGTGAATCCTTGTGGTGTAGGATGGTGTTCTGTGAACCATGTAGCAAAGGTAAATACAGACGTGATTGTGAATCAGTTACACATATTTATGTTCGGGCGACCGGGCTTGTGATGGCTCTAACCCATTCCTTACGTCCTTCTGATGAACAAATTCTGAAAACAAGTCCTAAATTGAATGATTTACAGTCTTTGCATGTGGGAGAAAAAGATTTGGTCAATGAAATATTCACAACTGACAAAATTAGCCTGTCTCTCCAACAGTTGAAGTGGAGTTTTTAATGGCTGAATGATGGGAGAAGACTGCGTAGACTTGAGAGAATGTAGGATGTTTTGTGGAAGGCCCCCAGCCGAGAGTTTTATGAAGGCGATACATATCTCGTGGAAATCGGCTGGATGTGTTGAGGCCTCCTTCTCCAAGTCTGTGAAGTCCTTCAGTCACATGACCACATGGCGAGAAGGCATCCACAGGCCACGGAAACGGCTTCCAGATTAGTGCACCTGTCAACGTTAGGCGCTGTTGTCTAGCTAAAAAAGTAAAATTTTGAAAAACGTCTTGGTAAGTAAGAAACATTTGGCAGAAGCCAGCTGCCTTGGAAGAGAAGATAATTACTCGGATGCTGGTCGGGACTGGATGTTGTAAATAATGAAATCTGATCAATATGTTTGTTTAATGCTCAGCATTAGGAACATGGGAATTAAACGTGAATGTTAGATGCTTGGGTTACATTAACACCTTCAGCAATTAAATTTTATGAAGTCTACATCAAATATGAAAACATTTTAGATCAAGATTGGGCTTTTTTGTAAATAGTGAAGCATGAGTTGAGGAACATGGCGGCCTCGTGTACAAGCATGGCTGGGTGTTTGTTTACCCCTTGACCCAGTTCCACAAAGTGATCTTAGCGTGAAGATGATCGTAACCAAACTTTAACATAGGCTTACGATATTCGTAGTGCTTAGGTTGCTTTGTTGAACAGGACCCAGGAAGATGATGGAGCACCCTATGAAGAAGTCGTCAATAAACCAACATGGTGTACCAGGCTAAACTTTCCCCTGACCTGTTCTTCTCCAGGGGGGGGCGTTCGGGTAGCCTTGTGGTTAAAGCGTTCACTCATCACGCCAAAGAACCAGGTTCGATTCCTGACATAGGTACAATGTGTGAAGCCCATTTCTGGTGCCCCCTCCGTGATATTGCAGGAATATTGCTAAAAGCGGCGTAAACCCCTACTCACTCACTCACTCACTCTTCCACAGAGAGAAGGAATAACCCAGGCCTGTTCTTCCCCACCCCTGGCCACCCCCTCTAATTTTAAACATGGATTTTTCGTTCATGAAGAGGGGCGGTCGGGTAGCCTAGTGGTTAAAGCGTTCGCTCGTCACGCCGAAGACCCGGGTTCGATTCCTGACATGGGTACAATGTGTGAAGCCCACATCTGGTGTCCCCCGTCGTGATATTGCTTGAATATTGCTAAAAGTGGCGTAAAACCATACTCACTCACTCACGTTCATGAGGATCCTGTATTTTTATGTTTCCGGGAGCCTAAAATTAGGAAGGAAGATCTATTATGAGAAGCGAGTGAGTGTTTTTTTAGAACTAAAAAATCTTTAATTAAAAGGACAGCAACATAATGAATAATGAATGTAATGACACGAAACTAAATTATTATTTCAGGTAGATATGGTTCAGCCTCAGTTATGTAATGTTGTACTTTACCTTGGCTATATCTTCCCATTGATAATGTTATAAATACCTGGCGACCCCTTCCAGAACCTGAAACTATGGAGTTTCATATCGAGATGCCAGATATCATATTTGACAAATAATGTAGTTTGATATGACATACATTGTGATATAACTAAAACTAACTATGTTTTAGTCAATGAAAACACTATAGCATGAGTATTTCTCATTATAACCTCTGCATTTAACACTTCAGATATTTGCATTTATATATGTGTTAAATCATATTTCAGTGCAGTTGACATGTGTTTGAAAGAAAAAATTGTAGAACAATATCTAAAATATTTAAAGATGAATATAATGTTTCGGAAAATATGAGAAATATTTGAAATATGGTTTTCCTGAAGAAATCCATGAGGGAAGAGACTAGTCCTTGAAAAACGTTCCCCATGTCGTGCATGTTTGAAGACCCGGGGAGGTATGACCACAGGGGATGATGGAGAATGCCTAGATTGGAGCCAAGAGAGACGAAGATCTGGCCGAGACTGAACCTTTTCTACCTCACTTTGCGGGGGAAAGTCTTGCCAGGGGTGGGGAAGAACTGGCCTAGGCCGAACCTTCCCTTAGGGGGGAAAAACTGGCCAGGGGGATGTTTTGGCCTATTGCAAGGGCATATTCTAACGTATTTCAAGTTGCTGGCTGAGTTGACACATCAGAGTTGGTCAAGGCATCTGTCAGGGATGTTTATTAAATATAGTGCTCTGTAACCCTCATAAGTGAGGCATTGGAACACATGATGACCAGGGACTGAGGGTGTTTTGTTTTTTCTGACAAGAGGTGTGTAGACCTCTTGGACTTCATGGAAACTTTGCTGATGAATCCGGGGCACGGGTGGCCCAGTCGTCTAAGGCGCTGCGATTCGCTGTGCAGAACGCTATGATTGTGGGTTCGAATCCTGGTTCGCCCCGATTATGTTTCTAGGTTTGTCAGCATCATACCCGTGCTCGTGGCTTTCACCGAAGTGGTAAACATCTGAGACCTGCATCACTTCGGGCTTTCCCCCCACATTTAGCTGACACGCCGTGATATAACTGGAATAATGTTAAAAGCGATGTTAAACTGCACTCACTCACGAACGAACGAACGAACGAACGAACGAACGACTGGACGAACGAACGATGAATCCATAAATACCAAACTTGGAATGCTCATCCCCTGTGTTTCTGTTAGCTTGGACCAAGGCACTTTCCGAGGTTAGAGAGTGGTGCAAGTAATAAATGGTATTGCAAGACGATCAGCCATTGGAGGCGATGAAGTGCTGAAGTCGATCAGCCCTATCATCCGCCTAAATGGTGGAAAAACCTCAGCACTTCATCAACTCAAATGGCTGATAGACTTCATGAATTACCCTGTGACAGAACCACGACAAGGTCCTAGTCAGTGGAATGACCTTTTTCGACACATTTCGTTACCCATGGGAAGACTCAGCTTGTTTACCAGTTGTGGAATCACTTGATGCCGAGAGTGATAGCAACAATGTTAGTCGTCACCCTCCTTCATCTGACCATAAAACACAAAGCAAATATTTAAACACAGTACACCGAGTGCCACTGTGCTGGGTATAAGCTGTTGTAGACTTGCTGCAAGTCTCCACTGAAGGACAGACCCATGTCATTCAAGTTATTATATCTTAATTAGCAATTCTAGGCCAAAAGTACACCAGCCTTATGTGACCAAATAATGTTCCATCAAATTTAAGTTTGTTCTTCCTGAAATATAGCTGTCAACTCTTCACAAGATAATAAATTCACTAGAGCCTTGAGTAAGTCTGTGTTGGTGCTGTGTCTTCTTGTGGCTTGGCTTGAAGGCTCTCCTGCCCAGTGTGTTGCCGAACACGTCTCAAGTGAGGCTGGTTAGGTGTGGAAGCCATAAACAGGTTCATTACCGCAGCACTTTGCCACGGATCCAATTTTAGTTTTGATTGTCAGGTAGACACACATTAGTGTCCTTTTCTGGAACACTGTAAGTTCGTGTTTCTTCGTGGAGTAAACTATGAATAGACTTGCTATTGCTCTGTGTTCCCCTATAGACTGACTCAATAAACACATCAACTGCCATCACTCATTTGTAACCAAATGGTCTCACCTCTACTGATCATGCAGAGTTATGTCCCTTTGTTATGCCAGGATGTGTTGTAGGTTTGAATTCCAGATTCGCCCTAATTTATAATCATGGGTTAGTCAGTGACAGACCATTGCTGGTGTTTTTCACTTTGCCAGCCTGTGACTATGTATGAGGATCCATTAATTCCTAGATTCATTCTCACCATGTGACCCATGAAGATCCGGAGTAGAATAGGTCTTCAGCAACCCATGCTTGCTGTAAGGCAACAATGCTTGTCGCATGACTAATGGGGTCGGGTGGTCTGATTCCCTGACTTGGTTGATGCATGTCATCGTATCCCAATTGCATAGATCGATGCTCATGATGTCAATCACTGGATTGTCTGACCAAGACTTGATTATTTACAGACCGCTGACAATTACCTAGGACATTGCCGAGTGCGACGTTAAACAACAAAACAACCTAACCAAAATCTCATCATGACACTTGTTAGAAGCATATGAAAATGACTCAATGACTCCAAAGTCAGTCCCAAATCACCTGATTCTTAATGTTCAAACTGGTTCTGTCTACTGCTGGCGTGACATTCCTCCCACGTCATCTGCGGCACTGTGTTAGAATCGATATGAAAGGCATCATTTCACCCCACTCACTAACTCACAGAACAATGAGTTCCAGTGCCACTTTGATCCACCCAAGCTGTTCAGGCTGAACAACAGCGGCGTGCCCCATCTGCTGCCTGTAGCATGCGCTCGACTGGCGGCAATTGCTCTGCTGTACTTTGATCTTTGATTAAACCAAATAGTACAGAAAATGTCACATAAAACACAATATTTTTGATAATATATCGTGTTTCCTTTATTGGTGTGATTCTATCACATTTTTGCTTTGAGAGAAACTTAACGTATAGTGCAGTGTATGTACAGTAGCAGATGAAAACAGCTGACTCGGCTAAATGCCCCTGTAGACTCTAGGAAGTACCAGAGCTCCAGATAAACTTCGTATTTTTGTAAAATTCGGAAAAGAAATCACCATTACCCATTATTTTGAGTTGCTTGTGCACTAATATGCATGAAAAATTAAAAAAACAACCCAATAATATAACAACAATATTCAGTGAATCCTTTTACATGTATTTCTTGCAGATCTTTATTCACTGATCAAATGCTAGACTAACATCTAGTCTCTGAAATGAACATATCGTACAGAAAAAACAGTTGTTAAGTTATCTTAATAAAAATATAATAAAAGGGGGCCCAGTGACTCTTTCAATTTCTGATATTGCACTAATCTAGACTTGCCAAACATTATAGACTTTATAGACATTATAGGCTGTATTTGATATATATTTGTATCAGGGTCTGTAAGACAGACTAATCAAATAAAGACATCACTTAAATATGAAATCTAGTCTACTGCTGTGAATAATGTATAAAAAGTGTGCTGCCCTGAAACAAATATATCCAATACAGCCCATGCAAGTCTATAATAGTTTGCAAGTCTAGACTGAAACAGCATTTAAGCAGATATATTTCATTTGTTTAAAAAAACCCAATAGACTGGACCAAAGAGAATAAAAATATTTCGAATACCCAAATAAAACTATAGTATTACCCAATGTGAATTATAACTACTAAGTAAATGCGCCATGGTTCAAACAACTATCTGGAACTGTGGATGGATATATGTCCAGTGGCCTCACTGACTGACACTAGCACAAAGAGTTTGAGGCATGGAGTTACATGGTATAAAAATTAGGAGGGACAATTGGAGCTGTTTTCATTATTGTGGTTGTATCGCAATAGCAGCCCACACTATTGCAGTGGGTATTGGGATAGTAGTAAACCAACTTGATAAATATATTAATCAATGTAATAGAAATAAAGTATTGCTGACAATCTCAAAGGCGGCCATTTTCTCCCCGTTGCTACTCAAATCAAAGGGAAGTAACTCTAATCCTTGCAGGCAGGGAACACTCAGGCAGGTTTGAAATTCACCTAATTTATGTATTATTGATAACTAACTGTTGAAACTATTGTTTGTTATGCATACTATCGATGATACTATTGGCTTTTTAAGATTCTTATTGATATTGTACTATCGTAGGGCAAACAGTTACGATAGTTCAATTTGTGGTTACACCCCTAATAATAGTTTTGATGTATTCACTTCTTTCCTTTTCTTGTTCGGCCAGCAAAACTTTGTGTTTTTATTTTCTGTACAGACATAGTTTGACTCTGTTCTTCTACTTTCAGAGATCTTTCCTCAAACCAAATTGGCACCATCAACAGTAGCATGTTCACGGGACTTCCCAAGTTAGAGAAACTGTAAGTTGAATGAACACCTCACCTTGTCAAAGAAATGAGGAAGGTGTGGGTAGTAGGGTGATCATTGGGTGCTGGTCATAAAAGCCAACGAAAATGAAAATAAAGTGGTCGAAATCTTTTCTTGGCTTGGTGTGTGCTCCACTGTAATGGATGGATGCTCATGCTATTAACCACTGGTTTGTCAGGCCCAAACTGGATTGATATGATCTGCTGTGGTATTAATGGACTGTTGTTGACTCTGGCATTCCCTCTTGTGAGACACTCTCCTCTTCTTGGTATAACTGGGGGCATGGGTGGCCCAGTCGTCTAAGGCGCTGCTATTCGCTGTGCAGAGTTGCGTCACTTGGGCACGCCAGAAACCTATGATTGTGGGTTCAAATCCCGGTTCTCCCGATTATGTGTCTAGGTTTGTCAGCACCATACCCGTGCTCGTGGGTTTCACCGAAGTGGTAAACATCGGAGACCTGCATCACTTCGGGCTTTCCTCCCACATTGAGCTGACACGCGGCGATATAACAGGAATACTGTTAAAAGCGGCGTAAAACCCAACTCACTCACACTCTCTTGGTATAACTCTGTGTTTCATGAACACCTTGTTACTGTCACTTTCCTGGGGCGGTCGGGTAGCCTTGGTTAAAGCGTTCGCTCGTCACGCCTAAGACCCGGGTTCGATTCCCAACATGGGTACAATGTGTGAAGCCCATTTTTCTGGTGTCCCCCGTCGTGATATTGCTGGAATATTGCTAACAAGCGGCGTAAAACCATACTCACTCACTTATACTGTCACTTTCCACAGAGTGTACAAACACCTGGCATCATCACAGACTTTACAGTGTAGGAACATCGGGTGTCATCACTGTAACTTTACAGCGTGACAGTTGGGTCTTAAATTTGTCATTTCAGTTTGTTGCTGTTGTGGCAGAGAATCCCGCTGGGTTTCCACATGTTGATCTGTGTTGTTTGTTTCAGATTCCTGTCCCGCAACAGAATCAACACCATCCCAGAAGGAACATTCAACGATCTCACCGCACTCAAACGAATGTAAGCTTTGTGTTTTCATGTCAAGCAGACTGAAGGTTAACAGATAGTGGCAGTAGTAAAAAGACTGACCAAGTCAACTCAGACTTTCTCCGTCATGAATGCCTCTTACCTTTGCTCCATCCAACAACCCAAAACCCTAACCCCCTACCCCACTCCAAGTAACCGCCCTGTCCCCATAAACCACCCCAACTCACAAATTCAATCTCATCCCATCCCCAAACCCCACCCCACCCCACCCCACCCCACCCGAAAGCCCACCTAAGCCCAGGCCTAGCCTGGCCCGGCCCAGTTCTACTATCCCACCCACACCCCACAAAAAAACCCCATCCCATTACAAACAATGACAAAGGTAGGACAGAGACGAGATCAGTACAGAGGTTTACTGTTGTGTATTTCAGTGACTTCAACTCGGAGTACTTGCGCTGTGACTGCCACCTGAGCTGGATGGTCCGCTGGGCCAAGGACAAGGGGGTTCGAATCCAGTCTACCACCAAGTGCCAGCTGCCAGATGCCATGAAGGGACGGATACTCTCCAAGTTGAAGACAGTTGATCTCCATTGCAGTGAGTCACAAGTTTACTGTCTTCACACTGTAGGATGTTTTGTTTGATGTTTAAAGCCGCACTCAACTATATTCCAGCTACATGACGGCGGTCTGTAAATAATCAAGTCTTGACCAGGAAATCCCCTATTGATATAATCGATCTATGCAATTGGGATATGATGACATGCATCAACCATCAGCCTGACCACCCGATCCTGTTAGTCATCTCTTGTGACAAGCATTGTTGCCTTTAATGGCAAGCTTGGGTTGCTGAAGACCAATTCTAACCTGAATCTTCATGGGTTATTGTAGGAAGTAACATAACTGTGACCATGAACTGTAACTTCAGCTGAGTTGTCAGGGGTGGTTTTAACCTGGCAGTGTTCGCTTGACATGGAAGAGATTACAGGTGGAGCAACTAAATGTGTCTTTGGATCTTCTGGATTTAAGGGATTTAAATGAATTTATATTATTTGCGATTGTTTGTCATGATGCATAAATATGGATATTTTGTGGATATTACTTAAGTCCATCATTATCTAGCTTTCAACCCAACACCCCCATCCCCACTACCAACCCACAACCCCACCCCACCCACCAACCAACCCACCAACCAACCCACCCACCAAGTCTAAGCCCACTCCTCCCTTTGCTAAGGGTGTGACATGGGGACGTGGCCATACCTGTGTAGTCGTTATACTGTCAGCATGCAGACAGATCTCTGACCTGTCAGAGTTTTAAATCTGAAGTGCAACACTGCCTGGGAAACTATTTGCCATTGACAAGTTTCAGTTGCTAGATAACAACGTACAGGCCAGGCTTGCCAGCAGACACAGGTAGACACTGCTTGTGATATCCAACTGGTCATAGCTGACAGGTGGTTTATGTAAAGAACTAGATTTTAGGAGAAAACAGCTAGCCTGGTCAGATTTTCTCCAGTCTTGGACTAACGGACTAGTGGCTGTGTCTAACACTGGGATATTGTAAATTAATGTAGGTATGAAATGAGTGCGATGAAAAAATGCTTGTGTCCCTTGCTCGTATTAATAAAGTGACTCCTTCTTGTGTCAGTTTTATGTTTATTGTCATGTCAGGTTCGCTGCACGTGGGTGGAAACAATAACATATATAACAGTAGTCACAGTAAACAGTGTAATTGAGTGCCAGATTGAGACAGTGCTTCTCACCTGGTTCTGGTGTCAACAGGGCACGGTTTAGGTGAATAGGGCACGATTATGGTGAATGGGGCACAATTTAGGTGGATGGGGCACGATTATGGTGAATGGGGCTCAGTTTGGGTCGATGGGGTACGAATTTTGTTGATGGGACACAGTATGGGAGGATGGGGCACAGTTTGGGAGGATGGGGCACAGTTTGGGTGGATGGTGCACAGTGTGGGTCGATGGGGTACGAATTTTGTTGATGGGACACAGTTTGGGAGGATGGGGCACAGTTTGGGAGGATGCTGCACAGTTTGGGTGGATGGGGTACGAATTTTGTTGATGGGGCACAGTTTGGGTGGATGGGGCACTGTGGGTGGATGGGGCACAAATTTTGTTGATGGGCACAGTTTGGGTGGATGGGTCACAGTTTGGGGGCATGAAGGGGTTATGGATAGGAGAATGGTGTGGGGCATGAGGGAGGCCTGGATAGGATACAGTGTATGACTGGAGAACTGAGTAGGCTGAGGCAGTAAATAGGTGTTACAAAATTAAGGGTTGGGTAAAAATGGTAGAAAGACGATGTTGGGAATAAGGAAGGACAAGGTGTGGATGCTGAGAGGGTTCCTGGAGGGCTTTGAGTTTGACGATATAGATGAAGAGATGGCGGTGCTGGTCGTCTTAGCAGTAAAGATAGCAGTAGGAGTATAACAAATCTGATTTATTTATTTAAGTCTTCAAGAATAAAATCTTGCACATTTGATCAAAGATGTTCTTCCATTATAAAAATTATTAATCTCCCAGGATAAATATTGTAATTACACAAATATGCATGTGTGTTTAACAGCCTCCGATCTATTTTTGTGGTATTATCATTGATTAATATTCACTTAATTACAACATGGCTAACTCCTGTCTTAATAGCCTCCATGTTCAGGGAACTCGAGGGAATACCTTTCAGTCGCTCCTTGCCTGGACCTCTACACACAACTCTACTGAGATAAGAATTAGTGTAAAAACTCGCTAGTTTGACTTTTTGCAGTAGCTTAATTATCAATAATAACACCTTATTGAAGGAGCCTCATTGCTGTGAAGAGATCAAAGCTTGGCGAGTACGTCTGCACTGCCAGTCAGCATGTTACTGTCTAATGCATACTTCAAAGATCTTGTTCTCACAAAGATTCTTTTTGTCCATCTAAATTTGACATAATTTTCGAACCTTTGAGGTTTTATGACAACTTTTTATCCAAACATATTTACGGTATTTTCAAATCCAAAATGTATTTTTGGCTCGTCCAGTTTTGATTAAGGTTGAATTGGTATGCACTGGGAATTTCCGTCACCTGTCTTCAACATAATTCACCAGTAATAAAAATGTGACTGTCATAACAAGTTGTGAGGGAAACAGTCTTGTCAGCTTACCACTTTTACGCTGTTAATGTCAACTGGGAGAGCAGCTTCCTGATTGTGACATCAGTAAATGGTGACCCTGCTTGATGTTGGTCGGCTGTCTAATGGCAGGTTAATAGCTCACACTGTAATTGCCTCAAAGGATATGAAATGTCACATGTGATGAGTTTAATATGGCGGAGGGATATAGGCACAGAGTGAACAGTGCAGTACGACCTTGGTTCCCAACTTTAACTTGATTATGGCGCCGTTTGACCTGATGACAACACTAGTTGTGGTAGTTTTAATGAGAAGGGAAATTGAATTTCATGTTCCCCATTTTTTATTTACTACTAAAATTCTGTAGTTATCTGATAATATATAATCAATATTTCTTTCATTAAAATGACACTTTTAAACCGGAACTTCATTCAGTCTGCCTCGGACACTGCTGATTTGAGAGAAAGATCAATGATAAGATACATTATTAACACAACATTTATCGTTTTCTTGTCAGTTTACGTAAGTGTCCCATCTTGTGTCCTGCTGTGCCACTTGAAAAACCGTCATTGTCGTGTCACTTGGAGATCAATGTTACTTGACGAGAAAAGACAATTGTCCTTTATTTCACTTTAGACGATGTATGTTGTAAAAATGATATTTTGTGGTAAATGCAAAGCTGATGCTTTTTCTTTAAAATTCCATGAGGTACCACTATCGGGACATAAGCACACTCACTTTCTTGTATGAGTAAAATCGTGCCTAGTTATTGCATGTATGCCTGTATAAGGGAGCATCTATTTGATTTGTGTGGTAGGGGTGGAAGGGGGGATTGAAAATTCATACATACTATTCGATTTTTTCATCACAGCCTCAGCACACCACAACCATGTCAACAACATTCCTATCAGGGCAATCTGTAACTGATTTTGTCTGGGCCTGGTGATCTAGGCAGTGATAGAGTGAGCACTGGTGTCGGGGTACTGTGACAAACAGTCACCAAGGTTGCAATCAGCTGAAGCTTTCTTGGCTTTTTTAACAAAGCATGGTCAAACATGGGTACTGGGTTACTGTTGGGGTATTTCAGTTCTGTTCATTTGAGTAAGATCCGCTAATAATAGTCAATAACACTAAAATGTACAAAAAATGATGCTAAGAGTCAAGTTCGGGCTAGTGCACTCAAAAGTTTGGAGCACAGACAAGTATTGTTTGGGACCTGTTGTGGACCTGTGGGGGACCTGTTGGGGTCCTGGTTTGGACCTGTTGTGGACCTGTCGGGGCCCTGTCGGGGCCCTGTCGGGGACCTCTTGGGGACCTGTCCGGGAACTGTCAGGGACCTCTTGGGGAACTGTCGTGGTCCTGTTGGGGAACTGTCGTGGTCCTGTTGGGGAACTGTCAGGGACCTGTCAGGGATCTCTTGGGGAACTGTCGGGGTCCTGTTGGGGTCCTGTTGGGGAACTGTCAGGGACCTCTTGGGGAACTGTCGGGGTCCTCTCGGGGAACTGTCAGTGATCTCTTGGGGAACTGTCGGGGAACTGTCAGGGACCTCTTGGGGAACTGTCGGGGTCCTCTCGGGGAACTGTCAGAGACCTCTTGGGGAACTGTCGGGATCCTCTCGGGGACCTGTTGGGGACCTGTCGGGGACCTGTCGGGGACCAGTTATATAATCTCATTAGGGCTGGGTGGTGGAGTAGCCTAGTGTTTAAAGTGTTGGCTCAACACACAGATGTCAACATAAGTACAATGTGAGTTCTTTGTGTGTTTTGCCTGAGACTTATGGATGACCTTGATGTTTCAGAACATGACCTTCAGTTGCCGTTCTTTGTCATCAGTCCTCAAGAGAGTCAGATCGTGTTTGAAGGTGACAAATTGCCGTTCAACTGCCGAGCCTCTTTTATACACGAGGACACACACATCGCGTGGATACGGAAAGGAGTTGCTGTGGAAACCAACAAATCTGCTGGTGTCTTTGTGGTCACGTCGAAAACACCAGACGACACAATCATCACGCACACATTAGCATTAAATAATTTACAAAAGTCGCACTCGGGTATATGGAGTTGTCAAGTTTCCACGCCACAAGGAAAGGTTTCCCGAGATGTTTCAATAACGGTTATAAAGGATCCTGAGAAAAATTGTCCCCATATCCATAAAATAACGAACAAGGGAAACTACACGTGGCATGAAACCATCGCCGGGGTGACGGTCAAGAAGCCATGTAAGGTCGGGGGAAAGGACGACTTCGCTACGTACTACTGTGACGAGTATGGATACTGGAAGTTCCTCAACATCTCACAGTGCGACTACATCAGCGACAGGACGCGCATGCTACACAGACTCGCGCTGGTGAGTTGCCATGGTTTCACTACTTCCTGTTTCATGTCGGTTGTTGTAGGTCTGCAGTAAAATACTTTATGGTGTTAGATTTATTGAAACATATTTGCTACATCTCGAATAACTTGATTTGTCATTTCGGATGATAGAACTTTAGGGCCCATGCCAAATCTCCATTGAAACAATGGTAGAATATTGATTGTCTTGAACTACAGATTTAATTTGCTACTAATATCGTCTCTTTCAAGTCATTGAAAATGGTGGAAATGTTACTGTATTCGACGTAATAAGTGCCTAGGGCGCTCTCAAAATTAGAAATAGGGGGCTCTTATTAGAATATAATTTTTTGGGGAAAAAAATCAGAGTTGAAAGATCGTAAATTTCGTGGTTTATGCTGACAGCCTAAAATGATACAAAAGAAAAGTCTGTGCGTTTTATACACGACAGATATATTTTCCAGAATTTAATTGCCCATAATTAAGGGTGCATATAACACCTGAGTGCGTATTATACACGAATAAACAAGTCTTGTGTACATTGAGCCAATTGGATTTTGAATTTTGGTATTGGTATGTGATCGTTTCTGTCTTCCTATTTCAGGAGGAGATAAATGCAACCACAGTGTTTGAATACATCAGCAAGATCAACATGACACTCAACCTCCCTGTGCCCATCTTCCCCGAGATGTCCGTCATGGACGCCGTGTTTGTTTCTGATGCCATTGACCGACTCAAGAGCTTCGTCTCTGTGGGTGCTGAGGTAGGCATGCATTATTGCTGGCAGTGTCACAATGACCTTGGCTTGTCAGATATCTAGAAGGGAAAAATGTTATCAAATGTAAATTGAGTTTCTGCTAGAGTGAACTTGATGATAAAGTTGGTGCAAATTAAAGTACTTGTGATCAAAGGGACATAACTCCATCAACCTTACTGACAGCCGCCTGGTTGAGTGACAGTTATTCTACTACACTATACTGGTGGACAGAAGAAAGGGAACAGATCATACAGAAAGTGTTTGTTGGCTCTGAAATCCTGTATGTTCCCATAGGATTAATCATCTTTGTGATGTATAAGAAATTTGTGTTTGTTTATGCACTGATTTTGTATGGGGACTCGACAATTTTTCAGCTGCCGCTGCAAAACCTCACATTTTATATACCAGCCTAATTATTTTTTCTCAAAAACACCTCTCTTTGATGTCATTTTTGTGGCCGAAAATTTCTTTCTTCTGCAGCTGTCTGAAGCATTGTTATGATTTTCAAGAATGTTTTGGGACAATTAATTATTTAAGATAAATCCCAGAATATCAAATGGTTGGGGCTTTTGGTAATTTTAATGTTCAGATCAGGGATCTAGCCATACTCAGATGCCAATATCCCTGCAGGTCTACAAATGTTTATACAATTCTGAAATTGTGTATTGTGATAATAACTGATGATTTAGCTATGCAGATGCACTGTTTTTCAAAGTCCATTAAAAAAAAGTTATTTTTAATTAGTTTTGCATTATTTCAATGAATGCAACATTATGATGTTTCTTAATTTAAGAAAATATAACATTCCAAAATATTCAAACTGCTACATGGGTAGCAAGTGTTACGTTGCAGCAGATAAATGATAGCAGTTTGTAATTTTTCAAGTAGGAGGGCCCTGCTCACTCACTCACTCACTCACTCACTCACTCACTCACTCACTCGACATCTTTTGCAGATATCTGATGCCATTGTGGAGGTGGTGAACAACGTTACCATGGCGACACCAGCAACGCTCGCTGGAGCACAGATGCAAAAGAAAGCTTGTAGCAGGTGTGTGTCGTCTTCATTAATGCTAAATTTTTCAGAGTTAAAATGAAAATATTCATGAAAATATTTGAATTTGTGTTTTGCAAATCCTGTCAATTTGTTTTAAACAATAGAATAAAATGTGGTTGTCTGGGTGTAAAACAATGAATTGCTTATACAGCATCATAAATATTTTACTGTTTCCAGGTTTGTCCTTGCATTGGAGAACATGACCCAGCAGGTGACGCCACCGTCGCCGTCCAGGAAGTGGAGCCGCTACGCCTCCAACATGGCCATAAATGTGCTGCGGGAGTTGGAGGCCAAACCCTCTCGGATCTACTGTGCACTGGAGAAATCCAAGAAGAAGGCAAAGCGGGGATATTCTCGGAGTTCGTTTTCCTGTTCGCGGTTTGGGAACACGACGGATGACCTACACTTGTCCATGAAGGTAGGGGTAACTGTTAGTTAATATTCATGATGTTCTAGGGTTTATACCCAAGATGGTATTACAGGGCAGAATAGCTCCTCAATAGCCCATGCTTTAGTATGCCTCCCAGACCTAGAGAATAAATTACACTTTAACTCAAGGCTAGAATGATTTGGCAAGTCTAGATTGACTAAACTCTGAAATCAAGGATTGTCTGGGCTCCATTTTGATTTTTTTGTAGACCGCCCTCTAAGTTGTGTCCATTTTGGTGGCCAAATGTGACTTAATCTATCATTGGCAACCTAAATGTATCTTCTGCTCACCACTTGGCTACCTAAGAGTCAACAGAACTGGTGACAATGTCTGTTTAAGATATCTGTTGGCTCTTAAAAACTTAAGTTTGGCTCCTGAAATATTCATGTTAGGAGCCACTTGGCTCCTTCACAAAATAACAAACTTAGAGTCCTGGCAGATAAATATTTTTAAATATGATAACTTTGTTTTGGGGACTTAGTGTCAGTAGACACGAGATCACATGAGAACACATGAGATTACATGAGATTACATGAGATCACATGAGATCACATGAGAACACATGAGAACACATGAGATCACATGAGAACTCAAGATCACATCAGAACATGAGACATTTGTGGATGAGATTGGGGTGGTTATGATGTGGGACCACTGAGGTATCTGGCCAGTCTCCATTAGTTACAGGTTACAGTGACATCGTTGTGATGTTGCAGCAAGGCGTACAACTGCATGCAGATTTCACTGACAGTCATAAACACATTCTGGAAAGTTTCTGATGAATTTCAGCTTCCCCTGAAGACGCAACTCCCACTCTCAAACAGTTCACTGATTGCATTGTAGGCATGCAATTGTTAGGTTGAATTGAAAAATAATTTGAGTTATCTTCCTTATTCTGAGTGGTGTGATACGTTACCCGCTCTCCTATAATACTTTTGGAATTTATAAATACTAAGGGGGGGGGGGGGGGGGCACGGGTGGCCCAGTCGTCTAAGGCGCCGCGATTCGCTGTGCAGAGTTGTGTCCCTTGGGCACGCCAGAAACCTATGATTGTGTGTTCGAATCCCGGTTCGCCCCGATTATGTTTCTAGGTTTGTCAGCACCATACTCGTGCTCCTGGGTTTCACCAAAGTGGTAAATGTTTGAGACCTGCATCACTTCGGGCTTTCCTCCCACATTAAGCTGACACGCCGTGATATGACTGGAATACTGTTAAAAGCAGCGTTAAACCCAACTCACTCACTCACTATAAATACTAAGTTTGCTAAGAGAGGTACTGGCTGACCCCAGTATCACGTTTCTGCATCTATGTTTTGTGTTACTCCCACAAATACACCGGACCAATGGAACAATAGGATGTATGACTTGATGGAATGAGGCAGTTACGAGTGGTCACGGTCCAGCTTCACTGTTCCCATGACACACAGAAGCAACAAATTAGCTACCATCCTTCTCTCAGCTGTGTCACCTTACAAACACTCACAGCCCCTGTAGCCCCCCTCCGTGGTCTAGTGGTAGAGCGTCCGCCCAGAGAGCGGAAGGTCCGGGGTTCGATCCCCGGCCGTGTCATACCAAAAGACGTTAAAAGATGGTACTTGTTGTTACCCTGTCTGGTGCTGGGTATTAAGGGGCTAAAACAAGGACTGGTCGGCTCGGATTCAGTATACTGTGTCTGGGGTATTCATGTTAAACTGCGGCATGGTATCTTAGTGAGCTAGCACTATAAATCGGCATCAGTCCGGACTAGTACAAGCAGCCACACACACACACACACACACACACACACACACACACACACACACACACACACACACACACACACACACACACACACACACACACACACACACACACACACACACACACACCGCTATATAAGTGCAATAATCTTGGACGCAACGTTAAACCCCATTTCACCTCACAGCCCCTGTGTATAGTTACAAACCCTCTCTCTCAGCCATGACTGCTTCCGTGGTCCAGGGATAGAATGTCTGCCTGGAGAGCGGAAGGTCGGGGTGTAATCCCTGGCCGAGTCATACTAAAGACGTTAAAAGATGGTACTTGTTGTTACCCTGTCTGGCTCTCAGCATTAAGGGGCTAAAACAAGGACTGGTCACCATGGAGTCAGTATACGGTGTCAGAGTGGGGTGTTCATGTAAAACTGCAGCATGGTATCTCAATGGGCTAGCACTATAAATCGGCATTAGTCTGGGCTAGTACAAGCAGTTACACACACGTGCATCCATGTTGCTGTATATGCAGTAATCTTGGACGCGACGTTAAACCCCATTTCACCTCACCTACAGTCCCTTTCCCTGCTTCTGTGGTCCAGAGGTAGAATGTCCGCCTGGAGAGCGGAAGGTCGGGGTGCAATCCCTGGTCATAATAAAGACGTTAAAAGATGGTACTTGTTGTTACCCTGTCTTGCGCTCTGCATTAAGGGGCTAAAACAAGGACTGGTCACCTCACCTCACCTCACCTCACCTCACCTCACCTCACCTCACCTCACCTCACCTCACTCCTGGCCGTGTCACCTTACAAACACTCACAGCCCCTGTGAACTTCTACTGCCTCTCTCTCGACCATGTCACTTTGCAAACACTCACAGCCCCTGTGTTGACAAACTTTGGGTGGGGCCATTATTAATTTTTAATCATGTTATTTGGCATGTTTTGTGTGGGTAAGACAAAAGTTTATCCTACACGCACACTGTATATAAGCTCTGAGGTGGGAACAAAAAGACAGGCTGTGTTGTGCATGTCGCAGTGATCTGGGCTGCTCAAGCTGAATGAGCTGATTCACGTTGCCTCCCAGGTCAAGCCACACCCCAGTGATCCTGTCAGGAACAGGAAGGGCTGGAACAGTCCCGGAAAATTGTGTCGATAGTTGCTACTTAAAAACCTGTGTTGGAAATTCAAGGTTTGGGTTCTTTATGACGGTTTATAAGAGAGGCATTTCTTTCATTGGACCTCTGTAACCACCTGTGGGTTTATGGCTTCAAGCTGCCCGAGGCTCTACACCGGCGGGGGCAGCTTGTTGTGCACTGATTTCAGTGATTTCACTGTACCAGGCTGTGATGACCTGCTGGTTGTGGGGCTGTCAGGGAGGCCTCTGTTTGAGTTAGCTAAGCCTGATGAGTTGATATTTATGTAATGGAAGAATAAAATACATTTAGTTCTTCGTTTAAATACCCTAGCAGAATAGGTCCTTAGTACTGGGTGCTTGTCTCCCATGAAAGATCTGGCACAGAATAGGTCCTTAGTACTGGGTGCTTGTGTCCCGTGACAGATCTGGCACAGAATAGGTCCTTAGTACTGGGTGCTTGTCTCCCATGAAAGATCTGGCACAGAATAGGTCCTTAGTACTGGGTGCTTGTGTCCCGTGACAGATCTGGCACAGAATAGGTCCTTAGTACTGGGTGCTTGTCTCCCATGAAAGATCTGGCACAGAATAGGTCCTTAGTAACGTGTGCTTGTGTCCCGTGACAGATCTGGCACAGAATACGTCCTTAGTATTGGGTGTTTGTGTCCCGTGACAGATCTGGCACAGAATAGGTCCTTAGTATTTGGTGCTTGTGTCCCGTGACAGATCTGGCACAGAATACGTCCTTAGTATTGGGTGCTTGTGTCCCATGACAGATCTGGCACAGAATAGGTCCTTAGTACTGGGTGCTTGTCTCCCATGACTCCAGACTGGAGTAAAAAATTATTTATGTCTGTTCACCTCCTCCCTTAAGACCCTCATATATGTGTAAGGTTTTCCAGTGACCCCAGTGGTTGCTGCATACACAGTGTATCCATGAAGGAGACTGCACAACTGAGTCCTTAAGGAGTTGCAGAATGTGCACCCACCTTGCGGCAGTGACAGCAGCAACATCGTTGTGAATGTAGCCTGCGTGTGCCCGGCAGCAGGGGAATGTCAGCCTACCTGACCTCGGTCGGTGACTGTCACACTGGATCGGAGTACCCTGTGATTGATTCACGCTTCACTGGTCCTCTCACTCGGGGAGTTGCTGTACAGGAAGGGAATCTATTGGTGGGGAGATAGTCCTCATATTCCTGGTGGGAGACATTCACTGTATTCCTGGTTGGTGATATTCATCGTAGCCCTGTTGTGAGACATTCACTGTATTCCTGGTTGGAGATATTCATCGTAGCCCTGTTGTGAGACATTCACTGTATTCCTGGTTGGAGATATTCATCACAGCCCTGATGTGAGACATTCACTGTATTCCTGGTTGGAGATATTCATCATAGCCCTGATGTGAGACATTCATCATATTCCTAGTTGGAGGTATTCTTCATAGCCCTGTTGTGAGACATTCATCATATTCCTGGTTGGAGGTATTTGTAGTCCTGTTGTGAGACATTCACCATTTTCCTAATCACTGACTTACACTGTATTGCAAGTGGGGAGATATTCATCATATTGCAGGTTTGGAGATATTCATTGTATTGCAGGTGGGGATATATTCATCGTATTGCAGGTTGGGAGATATTCATCGTATTGCAGGTTGGGAGATATTCATCATATTGCAGGTGGGGAGATATTCATCATATTGCAGGTGGGGATATATTCATCGTATTGCAGGTGGAGATATATTCATCGTATTGCAGGTTGGGAGATATTCATCATATTGCAGGTGGGGAGATATTCATCGTATTGCAGGTTTGGAGATATTCATCATATTGCAGGTGGGGAGATATTCATCGTATTGCAGGTGGGGAGATATTCATCGTAATGCAGGTGGGGAGATATTCATCATATTGCAGGTGGGGAGATATTCATCGTATTGCAGGTGGGGAGATATTCATCATATTGCAAGTGGGGAGATATTCATCGTATTGCAGGTTTGGAGATATTCATTGTATTGCAGGTGGGGATATATTCATCGTATTGCAGGTTGGGAGATATTCATCGTATTGCAGGTTGGGAGATATTCATCATATTGCAGGTGGGGAGATATTCATCATATTGCCAGTGGGGATATATTCATCGTATTGCAGGTTGGGAGATATTCATCGTATTGCAGGTGGGGAGATATTCATCGTATTGCAGGTGGGGTGATATTCATCATATTGCAGGTGGGGAGATATTCATTGTATTGCAGGTGGGGAGATATTCATTGTATTGCAGGTGGGGAGATATTCATCGTATTGCAGGTGGGGAGATATTCATCATATTGCAGGTTGGGAGATATTCATCGTATTGCAGGTTGGGAGATATTCATCATATTGCAGGTGGGGAGATATTCATCATATTGCGGGTGGGGAGATATTCATCGTATTGCAGGTGGGGTGATATTCATCATATTGCAGGTGGGGAGATATTCATTGTATTGCAGGAAGGGAGATATTCATTGTATTGCAGGTGGGGAGATATTCATCGTATTGCAGGTTGGGAGATATTAATCGCATTGCAGGTGGGGAGATGTTCATCGTATTGCAGGTGGGGAGATATTCATTGTATTGCAGGTTGGGAGATATTAATCACATTGCAGGTGGGGAGATATTCATCGTATTGCAGGTGGGGAGATATTCATCGTTTTGCAGGTTGTGAGATATTCACCATATGTGCTTTGTGGTTGTCATGTTAAATATTTACTGAAGCTCAGATCATATGTAGTTGCCAGGAACATTGCTTGTGTTGTGTCATTGTTGCAAGAATACTGTTGTGATGTAGGTACATTTCGCAAAAGAAAAGAAAGGAATTAGTCAATGCTATTATCTATCATCAAGCTTGCTTGGTGGGGAATTCTTGCATATCATGCGTGTCATTGTACTGAGGACTTCTGTGATATTGGCCTTTACCCATTTATCTTGTTCATTGACATGAGAAGAAACTACTTGAATAGTTTGTCACTTTAGTATTAGCAAGGGGAAGTTAAACTCCACCGGTCGCCATTACTCATTAGACCCCTTTGTACTCTGGTTTCAGAAAGAAAAATTGATTCCAAACTTTTTTAACCTGCACATCTGAGAACACCAAAAAAAGACTGCAAGCATGTACAAGAAGAATAGCAAATAAGTCTTCTACGATTCTATAGACCTTTCTTTACAAGGAAATGGCTTGGTGAGGATGTGATTGCTGGCATGCATTTGATTGTGCAGTGAGCGCGGAAAAGTCTGTTGTAGATGGCAGTGGATGAAAGGTACCTTCGTGAGAGCCTAATTCACGATGATAGAGAGTCACCATATAATGAAGGAAGAGTGGACTTCAAAGATGCTTGTGCTTAATGAATCCCATGTCATAATTGCTTTTCACTTACGGGAGTCAATTTCTCAGATAAACTTCAAAAAGTAGCCAAGTGACTGCATCCGAAGTAACACTAGACAATGAAGGGTTTAAAAGGGTTAGATTTGATGTAGTCTCATGTAAATTCACCTGGCACTGGAACTGAGCTTTCATGTTATGATTGGAGCATCAGCAGAGGTCTTTGCCCACTTGTTCCTGTAGGAGGTAGAATCAATATGGCAGTAGGAGGGAAGGTCTGCTGTTTTGTATCAAGGTAGAATCAATATAGCAGTAGGAGGGAAGGTCTGCTGCTGTTTTGTGTAGAGGTAGAATCAATATAGCAGCAGGAGGGAAGGTCTGCTGTTGTTTTGTGTAGAGGTAGAATCATTATGGCAGTAGGAGGGAAGGTCTGCTGATTTGTATCAAGGTAGAATCAATATGGCAGTAGGAGAGAAGGTCTGCTGCTGTTTTGTGTAGAGGTAGAATCAATATGGCAGCAGGAGGGAAGGTCTGCTGTTGTTTTGTGTAGAGGTAGAATCAATATGGCAGCAGGAGGGAAGGTCTACTGTTGTTTTGTGTAGACGTAGAATCAAAATTGCAGTAGGAGGGAAGGTCTACTGTTGTTTTGTGTAGACGTAGAATCAAAATTGCAGTAGGAGGGAAGGTCTGCTGTTGTTTTGTGTAGACGTAGAATCAATATTGCAGTAGGAGGGAAGGTCTGCTGTTGTTTTGTGTAGACGTAGAATCAATATTGCAGTAGGAGGGAGGGTCTACTGTTGTTTTGTGTAGACGTAGAATCAATATTGCAGTAGGAGGGAAGGTCTGCTGTTGTTTTGTGTAGACGTAGAATCAATATTGCAGTAGGAGGGAGGGTCTACTGTTGTTTTGTGTAGACGTAGAATCAATATTGCAGTGGGAGGGAGGGTCTATTGTTGTTTTGTGTAGACGTAGAATCAATATTGCAGTAGGAGGGAAGGTCTGCTGTTGTTTTGTGTAGACGTAGAATCAATATTGCAGTAGGAGGGAGGGTCTACTGTTGTTTTGTGTAGACGTAGAATCAATATTGCAGTAGGAGGGAGGGTCTACTGTTGTTTTGTGTAGACGTAGAATCAATATTGCAGTAGGAGGGAGGGTCTACTGTTGTTTTGTGTAGACGAAGAATCAATATTGCAGTAGGAGGGAGCGTCTACAGTTGTTTTGCGTAGACGTAGAATCAATATTGCAGTAGGAGGGAAGGCCTACTGTTCTTTTGTGTAGACGTAGAATCAATATAGCAGTAGGAGGGAAGGTCTGCTGCTGTTTTGTGTAGACGTAGAATCAATATTGCAGTAGGAGGGAGGGTCTACTGTTGTTTTCTGTAGAGGTAGAATCAATATGACAGAAGGAGGGAAGGTCTGCTGTTGTTTTTTATCAAGGTAGAATCAATATGGCATTAGGAAGGAAGGTCTACTGTTGTTTTGTGTAGACGTAGAATCAATATGGCAGTAGGAGGGAGGGGATACTGTTTTGTATCAAGGTAGAATCAATATAGTCTACATGACAACTGTGATACTGTTGAGTACAGGTCACCATGACAACTGTGTAACTGTTGAATACAGGTCACTATAATAACTGTTGAGTACAGGTCACCATGACAAATGTGATACTGTTGAGTACAGGTCACCATGACAACTGTGGTACTGTGGAGTACAGGTCACCATGACAACTGTGGTACTGTTGAGAGGTGGTACTGCTGGAAGTGTCGGAAGATGAAATCACGAAACTGTGACTTCCAATCTGTTAGACATAGTTACAAGTGACTTGTGGATGAGTGTTCTGACATTGTGTAGTTCCCTCTTACATCCCCCCCTGCAACACTCTCAGATCAAGGCAGTATGCAGTGTGTTCATGTGACACTGGATCAAACTGACTTGCATACCGATGAGGGCATTGTTGGAAACATCACTCCTTCACCTTCTTATTCATGCACCCACAATATAAATATTCATGTGAAGTGTCCCAAGCGCATACATTGTAGCTTGTTATATGTTGCCCGAGCATGAATCCTGGCTCTGATTTCTTCTGGTTGTTGCTTCGTGTAGGTGGGTATACTGTTGTCCTCTCATGCAGAGAGGGAAGTTATTTCTTTTGACATGCACGCTGTAACAGGTTTAATGAATATTTCTTTGGGAACACAGACTGTGAAGGCCATTGTCCTTGGCTGTTTTAGTCAGGTGTTGGCAGAGTTGAAGTGTGGGAAGCCTGTGGCAACTATTGGGCTTTTTCAGTGTATATTCTGGAGGCATCTTGGCAGTATTTTTTCTATCTATTTGGAATTTTATGAAATCATTTAGGACTATCTTGTTCTTTTATCAGTGTGGATAACCTGAATGAAATAAGTTGATGTTAATTCAGTGAACAGTTCTGCAAAGACAGATGCGAAGTGATTCCACTATACACTTGTTTGAGGATTTCTGTTTGCCTGATAAGACAGGTTCTTTGTAATTATGTCTGACACATTCTTATCTTCACACTTAGTTGAAGGTTTGTGGGCACAATTTGATGAAATCTTGAGGAAGATATGGATTGGACTATTTCGTTGATGCTGATATTTTTTGTCAATATTTTGCAATTATCATTTTCTACTTGGAGGCTGTTTATCAAAGTAATAATGTCCTCTAATGAAGAAGAGTGAGTGAGTGTATGGTTTTACGCCGCTTTTAGCAATATTCCAGCAATATCACGGTGGGGGACATCAGTAATGGGCTTCCCACGTTGTACCCATGTCGGGAATCGAACCAAGGTCTTCAGCGTGACGAGCAAACGCTTTAACCACTAGGCTGCCAGACCGCCCCCTGATGAACAGGAAGATATGCTGGTTCTGCTGACCACATATCACACCTTGTTATTTTGGGTAGAAAAGGTGTGAATTCATACTTAGAGCATCTATAATGGTTTGCGTGTACCCGACTTGACACCTCGTCATGAGATAGCTCAGCACGACTGCAAGTAGTATAGATGTGGTAGGCTTCTTTAAGATCTTGCAACGCTCAAGAATGTTGTCCAATTGGCTTTTCTCTTCAGCTTTTCTCATGTATCATGCTTTGTTCCAGAACATACAAGCTTCTGCAGACATCCCACCAACGCTGTTGCAGGATGCTGGTGTGTCTGAGGACGCCAACATCCAGGTCACCATTTACCGGAACCATGCCCTGTTCCCCAGAACCAAAAAACATTTTGAAGACCCCATGCTTGGTGATGGCAACTGGTCTGTGGTGTCCCAGGTGTTCTCCATCGCTGTGGGTGAGTGGGATCAATGAGGCAATAACACCATTTAAAGTTGAAACATTAAATTCAAATTTCAAAGATCAAATTTAAGTTAATTTCTGATAAAATTGTGGAGTGGAAATCAACCTGTTGGTTGGTTTGGGGGTTTGTTCATCAAACTTAGTAACCTAAGTATTGATTAACTTCTTTGAGAGGCAAGCTTCATAACGGTGTTAGAACCTCCACCGTAACGTCACTCTCATTGTAATAAAGAAGTTGTTCATCCATATATCTTCTCCTTATTAAGTATTGATTTACAACAGTCGTAAGTGCCATACTTAAGCATAGACTTATGCTTGTCGTAGTGGAAAGATGATTCCAACTCCATACTTGAGCATTAATTTACTACAGTTGTATTGCTAAGATGGTAGTATCTCCCCATACTTCAGCATAGATTTACGACGTTTGTAGTGTTAAGATGGTAGTAGCTCCCATACTTTAGCATTAATTTACTACAGTTGTATTACTAAGACAGTAGTAACTCTCCATACTTCAGCATAGATTTACGACGTTTGTAGTGTTAAGATGGTAGTAGCTCCCATACTTTAGCATAGATTTACGACTGTCAAGATTGCTTTCTGGAATGAGGCTAGACTGTGTATGTATCCCCCTCTGATTGGACTGGTCTCTCTGGGATTTGAGGCAGAACAAAACCAGACATATGTTTTATGGCTGGAATATTGGTGTCTTTGGCATAAAACAACACTCACTCACTCACTCATGTCATTGCAGGGGAACCCATTCTAAATTTGTCTAATCCCATCACCCTCAACTTCCACGTGCCGGACCCCCACGCCTCGCTGGCTGCTGTTTACTGGGACTTCGGAGCTCATGGTTTGTATAACTAGGATGTCAGGAAATATCTCAAGCTGATTCCTGTGTCCGTCACAGAACACATTGTGCCACCTCCATGACACAATGTTGAGATCTGATTCATTCACTAAGTATCCCACCTGGGAGGGAAATAAATATCTGATCTGCGGTCTTATACCCCGCCATGAAGAAAATGGGTTGCACATGGATTTCTGAGTAGGACACTAAATCCCTTGCACCCAACTATAACGCCAAAAGCTGCACATTGTTTAAGAGTCAATGAAAGATAGCCTCAGTGCAATCGAACAGCTGTTTTCTATTTGTTTTCAATTTGTTATATTCCTTTGACCTTAAATTGTGACAGGTGGACTGGGAGACTGGTGTACGGATGGCTGCGAGATCGTCGGCTTCACCGGCAACATCACTACCGTCAAGTGCTACCACCTCTCCAACTTCGCCATCTTGCAGGTAGATATCTCGAGCTTCCTGTATTGTGTGTAAGATAACAGCATGTATACGAGGTGGAGAAATAGCCTTATACATATCTGCTGAGTCAGCTAAATGAGCAAAAATCTTTCAACGGTGACATGAGAAATATTGAAATATTCCTCTTTTCACCCAGCAGTGAATGGGAACCTAGTAGGATGAGATGGTAATGTGACTGTTAACCTTCTAAAGCCTTGTAAGGCAGATTGAGATGTATACTCCCCAGGAAGCTGAGAATGAAATTCAAGTGCACACTTATCCATTAACCGGGGTATTAATCAAGCACTTTGACATGTATTATTGTGGGGATTTGACACATCATAAAAAAATAAATTGTTCTTGTTGTTTTTGTTCTTATTTTGTTGTTAACATAGGCTTTGACTTTTAAATTGTTTTTCACAAATTTCAATTTCATCTCCCTTCATCAATAATGATAAGCACTGTAGGAAAAGACGACACAGTTCAAGATGTTAGATATATGACAGGATGTTGCGATGTATTGTTGTCCGTAACGCTGGCCTGGCCATGTTTCAGGAGAACGCCAAGGACCAGTACCGCCGGTTCATCATGGAGCCAATCATCTACGTGGGCAGCTGCATCTGCATGCTGTGTATGATGGCCGTCATCATCACCTATGTCACCTGCTTCAGGTAAACTGTCGGAGATACACAACATGTCTTGTATATCCTAAAGGCACGGGGAAAATGGGAGGTGGACTAGCCTAGTGGTTAAAATGTTTGTTTTGATTCCTGACATGGGTACAGTAAGCCTGTAACTGCTGTGATGTGGCTGAAAGTAAACAATGTAAGTGTCTACATATGTTATATTTGGATAAAACTTTCCTAGACAGGTACAGATTTTAGTACTTTTTAGGTTGAGTCCCATCTGGGATTCGAACCCACACTGCCAGAGTGAGGCACCTTATTTTCAGTCAGCAGTTTAACCCACTCAGCCACCACAGCTTCCACAACATGAAAATCCGACAACTGGTAGTCTAGATCACATGGCCGAAAGCGATGAACAATAGCATTGTGTTCAATGTCAGTGTTGGTGATTACTGAATGTGTGTAGGGCTGGGACGAGTCCAAATTTACTACCCGGGTACCCATCCCTCTATTACCCGACCCTACCCGGGTACCCACTGTAGGTCTCAGGAGAGAGAGAGTATTTAGATACATGTTTGAAATAATCGGGTCATTCATACACTGAAGCTGAATTAAGTTATATCTTTATTCAACCATATGAAAAATCAGAAGGAACGGGTGCATAGTCAGAAAGCGAACATTAGTGACTTGTAGTGTAACCATAGAGTTCCAGATAATTTTTGTCATTAAACAATATATCATGTGACTAACCACGGGTCCGGGTAGTTCTGTGGGTACCCGGGTCCTACTCAGTACCCACCTGACCCGGGTACCCGAGTTACCCGTCCCAGCCCTAGATGTGTGACTACAATTGTGACTCCATGCTTGACAATATACGTTACTCCCTGTTCCAGAATGATCTACATCCCGAAGAAGATGAAGCACTCTGTGATCAACATCTGCATCAGCGTTCTCCTGCTCATTGTTGCCTTCACCATGGGCATCAATCGGACGGACTTTGAGTTGGTGTGTCAGATCGCAGGAATAGCTATACACTACCTCACACTGTGTGCGGTCTTCTGGATCACCATCACTTCAAAGTAAGATAGTTCTAGCAATGACATTTACAGATTACTCATAATTTCTCAAATGTGGAGTAAAATACAAAATTTGAAATCATTTTATATGCCTCTTAACCTATTCAGTAGTGATAAAAACATGGAAGTTGACAATCTCAGTGAAATCTGATCTTTTGACTCTGATATAAAACCTCTCTGCTTGAAGATGTGAGGACACCTTCACAGGTCACGTCAGGTGACCTTTCTAATCAGCCAATCAGCATTGAGATTTCTAAATTCTTAGTACGAGTTAGGAAACCATTCAGATCAACATGTCAGATTTCTGTACCTCAAAAACAAACATACATCAGGAGTTCCGATTGCGATAAGATTAAAGCTTTGCTACTGCGTTGTTTTAGATATTTAATATATCCTGCCATCTTCACACAAAGTGGTGTACTATCGAGGGTATGCTTGTGTTCTGTGGTGGTTTCCTCCTGCTGAGACTAAAATTTCCGAATCGAGTTGGTAAAGAAATGAAGGTGAATTGTTTTGGAAAGGTGCCATCTGATTGGCTCAAGTACCTCTGCATCCTTCTCTTTCATTGGGTTGTCGAAGTTCACATAGGGTTCACCTGATGTGATCTTATATGGAGGTGTCCTCAGACCTTGACGCAGAGCGTTATCATATCGGAGATTGGGAGGTTGATGAAATAGAAGGGAAGTAACTCTTGTTTCACAATCAGAGAAACACAACAAGCATACATCTTATGTATCATTTTGTTTTGTTTTCACCTGCCAACTGTTCGACACTTGGTTGTATGTAGATCTTATTGTTCAGCATCCTGTTTTTATCAACCCACTTCTAACAACCACGCTCTTGCCTCCAGCAACATGTTCAAGAAGTTCCTGAAGGCCGAGCGCCCTCCATCCCCGCCGCCCGAGCCGGTGGTCATGCCTCTCCCCCCCAAGCCCATCCTCCGGTTCTACTTCCTGGGCTGGGGCGTCCCCATCATCATCTGCGGCATCACTGCCGCGGTCAACTTCAACTTCTACTCAGGAAGTGATTAGTAAGTAGATATCGACTGCAGCTGAGTTAGGAGCAAGTTAATCTCTTGTAAATCCTGAACATACACCAATGTAAACCAGTCATCATTTGCAATTTTAGTGTCCACAACAACAACACAGTACAACAAGCATTAATTCAACCTCTTAGCTCTTACCCTTCTATGCCCTGTAAAACACCATGCTCTGTAAAATACTCTGCCCTCTAAAACACTATGCCCTGTAAACACTATGCCCTGTAAAACGCTCTGCCCTGTAAACACTATGCCCTGTAAAATGCTCTGCCATGTAAAACACTTTGCCCTGTAAAATGCTATGCTTTCTAAAACACCATGCTCTGTAAAACACTATGCCCTGTAAAACGCTCTGCCCTGTAAATACTATGCCCTGTAAAATGCTCTGCTGTGTAAAACACTCTGCCCTGTAAAATGCTCTAATCTGTAAACAGCTATGCCCTGTAAAACGCTCTGCTCTGTAAATCGCTCTGCCCTGTAAGACGCTCTGCCCTGTAAATACTATGCCCTGTAAAATGCTCTGCTGTGTAAAACACTCTGCCCTGTAAAATGCTCTAATCTGTAAACAGCTATGCCCTGTAAAACGCTCTGCTCTGTAAATCGCTCTGCCCTGTAAGACGCTATGCCCTGTAAAATACTATGCTCTGTGTTTCAGCTGTTTCCTCGCCTGGGAGCCGAGTCTAGGTGCGTTCTATGGCCCGGTGGCTCTACTTGTGGTGCTCAACCTCATCTTCTTCTTAAGGATCTCGTGTGTGATTCGTGGACAGCCCAACAACCTCAACGAGACGGACGAGACGGAGGAGATGCACGTGAATGAGATTGAGCTGGTGCCGAACCAGGCCGACACGAACCTGGAAACTCAGAGTCTGACTCAGCTGCATAACGATGATGATGATAACGCATCATCCATCAGCATTCTGGATCAGGAGATGCGCCCAATCACGCAGCTGCGAGCCCTGGTGGCCATGTTGTTTCTGTACATAGTAGCCTGGGTGTGTGGAGCTTTCGCTGTGGCCAGGCCGTTTAAAAATATCATCCCGTACCAGGAGTTAATCTTTAGTTATTTATATGGAGTGACGAGTGCGTTGCTCGGTGTGTTCATGGTGGGATATTTCTGCCTGATGAGGAGGGACTCACGTTTGAGTTGGAAGCGGTTCTTTGGATGCGGACCTCAGCCACTGTATAGCTTTCCTGTGAATACAGACCCGCCCACGCAGGTAACGCAGGTCAACGGCAATGTCGTCAAGTCAAACAGTAGTGTGGATGTATCCACGACATATTCACAGAAATCCTCTAATATTGCCAAGGCTTACCAAATGAAAAACAACCCTGGTAAGCAGTCGAACATCAATCTAGTCCCAGTACCCAACTCCTCCAAAGAGGGTTCCGTCAGCAGCAACCAGGAGGGATTTCCTAATTTTTACAACCCCCGACAAAACGGGGCAGCTAAGAAATTCTGGCAGAAAAATCGTCACACTCATTCAAAAATAATGAATAAAGATGTGAACAAAGACCTTAACTGTGACAGTATGACAGACAATATGTCGACGTCGGACATCAACAGGAGACTCAGTCAGGGCACGAACAGTGATGCAAATACTCACCTGAGTATTGAAATACAGATTCAAGCCAAAGAGTCGTCGGCCAAGCCTAACATGTTACATGGGGCCAACTTGAACAACCCAGGGATAGCGATTCACCATGGGGCTCCACAGCTCCCAATGAACATCCAGCACAGCCCAGGGAGGATGCCCGGCCCCCCCATGGACCGGAGTCAGATGACCCCAGTAGGGGGGGTGAAGATTCCTGATAGGGGTGGGGCAGTGAGCCCGTGTTGTAACCTGACCCCAGGGGGGCCTCTTCTACCTCAACATCAGCGCTCACCCAGCGCTTGCTCCCTCGGCACTGGATCCCACCCTAGTGCCTTCACCCCTGTTCCCCCCAGGAATAACACGTTGCCCCGTCAGCTCCGTGCAGGGGTGGTGCCAGTGATCCCTGCCGGGGAGTACGTGGTGCGGGATGGCTCCGTGCCCCGCCTCAGAGACTTCGACGGCCAGAGTCAAGTTAGTGATAACGGGATGGAGATTCTTCACCCGCAGAAAATGCCAGTCTTGCCTAGTCACATGGACCGTGGCGGTCAGAACGGTTATATACCGCCGGTCAGCCCTCTTAAGTCAAGGAATGATCACATAAAAACCCGGGGGCTGAGTCCCAGACGAAACTCTCGTCCCTCATCAGGTGAACGTGTACATAGCCCGAACACAGTGCGACCTTTATCAGGGGACTATAGCTCTGATAGCAGTCGGTATCGCTGTCACAAACGAAACCATTCAAGTTCTTCTTGTGTTTTACCTAGGACAAAAGGTGACGGCTCAAAGAGCCCTGTCATGTCAGATGACCAGTCACGTGACTTCATTTGTCCGGCAGACTCGGATGGTCAGCTGCACAATCAGCGGAGGCCAGTGATTAACGAGTCTGACCATCACTCCGATCCAACTCATCGAAAACGCCACCGACCTTACGATAAATACTCACGCCATCGAGGCATGCAAAAACAACGCTCTCTAGGTTGGGAAGAACAGTTCAAAGATCGTCCACGGAAAATAGCATATGCATATGTAAACCATTCTTACCAGGAAAAAGTGCTGCATAAACTCATATCACAAGCTAGCGAGAGTGATGACCTAGCAAAAAAGGCTTTTTGGCTGCCAAGGTCAATGAGTGAGTATGACCGACTAACACAGTCGGGATTCCGAGGCCTATTGGAGGACACAAGCTCTACCTCGGAGGATGACAGTTTTGACAATGTGTGGCTGCCTCAACAAGACAGTGGGGACAATGCATTTAAGAAGGAGACAAGTGTATAGTCATCGTCTCCGTATATACCGATTTATTGGTGCTTCATTCTCTGTACAGCTTTGAAGGGGAGGAGTGAGTGAGTGAGTAAGGTTTTATGCCGTTTTTGGGCAATATTACAGCCATATCACGGCCGGGGACACCAATTGGCCCATTTTGGGATTCAAACCCAGATCTGTGGTGTGACAAGCTAATGCTTTAACCACTAGGCTACCCCAATGCCCTTACAGGCTCAAGACTAATACTTCTTATGAAATCCTCTTTGGAATCGAGCCAGTTTTATGTGTGTTTTAAAATTTACAAGTGCATATGTAAGATGGTATTTGTGATTTTTTAACATAGTTTTCATTTTGTGGCAATTTTGTGAATTAAACTTTTAAATGCTTTAATGCTTTTTGTACTTGGGTATTTGGAGTGTAAGATATATTTCAGAAGTGTCCCCTGGTTGTCATGACTCCCGATCAAAGCTGGCCAGAACAGTTATTAGTGAACTTTTGTACAAGAGAGTGAATTTGTATTTTCTTGTGGCTAGTGGTAGTGTTTGGCCTGACAGGGTGCATCTCTCGGCTATCAATAATCATCAGCAGCAGCGATACTGAAGGGCGTACTTAAGGTACCGACCTTTTAATATTTGAGGGAAGCCTTGGATTTGGTATTGAGATTATACTGAGCAGCAAAACCAGATATTTTTTATTTAAAGCAATGAGCCTGAATTTTTGAAAGAAAAAACCCTTGGAACAATGTATTTTTTGTATCCTGCATTTCCTTTTCTTTTTCACAAGTCTGAAACAATTATATTTTTTCAAGAATTTTTGGGCATAATTTTTTTTCCCCCTATAAAATCCCAGGTCCCTTCCTGGAATATCAAATGGTCGGTCCCTTTTGTGAATGGGCGTCTCAGTACAGTTTAATTCACCATGGCTAAGTGATGTTTTAGTTTAGATTGAAACATTTCATTGTTCGAAATGGCAAGCTTTATGTGAAGAAACTTAGAAAGAAAATTTCTGTTAGATCTTGAGACACATAGGAAGTACATATATATGATGGTTTGTATAGACCAGTTGTCACGGAAACAATGTTGGCATTTACTTAATCCAGATATTTTTGGCATAGTTATATTTTGTATTGACCGCTTGAGGTGATGATCAGTTGTGTTGGCTCTGAACAGCTGTCTTTCAAGCCATAGGACAGCTGCCTTTACAACCCATACCATGGAACAGCTGCTTTACAAACCATAGAACAGCTGCCTTTACAAACCATAGCATAGAACAGCTGCCTTTACAAACCATAGCATAGAACAGCTGCCCTTACAAACCATAGAACAGCTGCCTTTACAAACCATAGAACAGCTGCCTTTACAAACCATAGAACAGCTGCCTTTACAAACCATAGCATAGAACAGCTGCCTTTACAAACCATAGAACAGCTGCCTTTACAAACCATAGAACAGCTGTCTTTACAAACCATAGAACAGCTGCCATTGCAATCGATAGAACAGCTGCCATTGCAATCCATAGAACACCAGATAATTCAATCCATACAAATATATGAATGTAGTGTCATGTTTCTCGTATAGAACTGTATGTACATGTAAAGACAATGTCCTGCATGTTGCATTTCAAAATCTTTGAGGATGTAAGCAAAATCGCAGATGTGAGCTTTTATTTGACAAAGTTTCCTGTTCTAAACTCAATGTTCTGCACCGACCATGCCAATCAAAATTTGTAGGGCCAGGCCAAGAGCTACACTGGAAATATTATTTATTCTCACTCTATGAGTTTTTACTTATTCCGATAAGGACATATTCTGCCATGACTTTTTAAAATTCTTGAGTCTGATTGGTCAGTCGTAAGTTTCAAATTACAATAACCACCTCTGAAACACATGGTGTGACAGCCACCTCACCACGGAAACTAATATTAAAAGAAAAGAACTTCTTTCTCAGGCACTGCATGCACATTCGGTTCCAAATTCAGTTTAGCCAAGTAAAATCTACAGGAATCTAGCTCTACATTGAACACTCAGTATGGTTATCTCAGATTTCATCTGATTTCTATAGACTGGTCTATGATGGGTTGATGTGGAATCAAGCAATCCAGCCAAATAGTATAATTTCATCTGATAACCATGCAGGGAGTGCTCTTGTGTCTTTCACAAAATATCTCGACTATGCTTGTCGTAAGAGGTGACTAACAGGATCGGGTGGTCAGGCTCGCTGACTTGGTTGATGCATGTCATCGCATCCCAACTGCATGGATTGATGCTCCTGATGTCAATCACTGGATTGTCTGGTCCAGACTTGATTATTTACAGACCCCCGAAACATAGCTGGAATATTGCTGAGTGTGGTGTTAAACAACAACAAACAAACTCTAAATATCCTCATAGCATGCTAAGTATTACATTTTTAGATTTGAATACTTGCAACTCTGATCTTGCTCCTGTGACTAGATAATATGTTTCTGTGTCCTGGGTTGTCATGGTAACTGATAAATCATTACTCTGATGAGACAAGTGTTTAGCGCCAACACAGACCGATTTCTGTCTGGGTAGAATGATGTTGATTAATCTGACATGCCCAATGTGGTTTTATGTTTGTTTATAATGTGAATGTATTTGAGAGCTGCTGAAATTGTACAGGTTGTTGACTCCTTGTATACATTGTACAGTCCTTGTATCATATCTCTCAGGCTGACTGCTGTGTTGATGCAACCAAAGAACACAGACGTCACAGCTCTCAGTGTTGGAGGCCTGTACGCATATTGAAAATGTTCGAATATATAATGGGAATATTTATTTTAACTTAATATCTCAACATGACATGCTGCTTGCTTTCAGATGAAATGACATTTTTAAGTATGCAAACTTTTTTCTTAGTATTTTCTTTCACTTATGAAAATTATGTAACAAATATTCTTGAATCTCATGAGTGTGAATTATACAAGTATTTATTATATACCAGTGTATATACAAAGCAGATGTTTACAAACGTAAAGTTCCAAATATCTTCGGAAAGTTACTTAATGTCCAAGGTCACATGAACATGAGTTGTCCGCCCTTACCTCCATGCCCGACCAATCCATGGGAACAATACACAAGTTGTGGTCTGTCCCATACTACTTGTTTTACAACTGATTCACACCAAGGCATTAACAGTAGTCAACGTGTCACAGCATTTCCTATTGTCATTTCTAAGAAATGTATGTGATAATGTGACGGTAATTAGACGTTGTAATTTAATGGTTTTATAGATCGTGATAATCAGTGTCAAGCCGGTAATTCTTGTTTTACTTAATATTTGTCATGGACCAAATTTCATGTGATTTGGAAGGAGAAATGTGGGGTTGCCCGAACTGTTCCTAAAGGGTTTGATTCCTGAAGTTTAGAAGATAGTCAAGACAGTGTGAGCCCTTTATAACCTGCGTCGGGGGCAAGGGTGGCCCAGTCGTCTAAGGCGCCGCGATTTGCTGTGCAGAGTTGCGTCCCTTGGGCACGCCAGAAACCTATGATTGTTGGTTCGATTCCCGGTTCGCCCCGATTATGTTTCTAGGTTTGTCAGCACCATACCCGTGCTCGTGGGTTTCACTGAAGTGGTAAACGTCTGAGACCTGCATCACTTCGGGGTTTTCCTCCCACATTAAGCTGACACGCCGCGATATAACTGGAATACTGTTAAAAGCAGCGTTAAACCCAACTCACTCACTATAACCTGCGTCAGTATCACTTGACTACTGCATGTTCAAATCAGGCTTCCTGAATCACACACTGCTGTTGGTTATAGAAGCTGAGGTTTCACCTCAGCCATGGAAAGCTGTTTTTCTGTCTCTTCCAGTCTCATTGAAATCAGATTGTACTGCTCACAACACTACACAGAGATCTTAGGATCCCAATACAGGTCACGTCAAACGACCTTTTATCCAACCTATCAGAGCCTCCCTTACGAGATCGCGAAAGTGAAAGACGGAATACGTTTTCTACTCATTCAGTCTTGAAAAGGTTGACATGGGGCGTTCTGATTGACAGTGATGGGCTGTACGGCAGATTCCAAATGCTATCTCTTGCTTCTCATTTGAAACAGAAGAGTGTTTTCAGTAGCTGGTGGGAAGTACTGCCATTCCAACTCGGCCATTGATAAACCATTCCAGAATTTTCTTTTGTTCCGTTTTCAAATTTTCAATCAAGAAACTTGTCAAGGTGTAGCCTGGAATGGAAGTCACCCTTCTGACACTAGTGATGTAAAGCAGCTTTCTTATTGACTTGGTTGATGCATGTCATTGTGTCCCAATTGCGTGGATCGATGCTCATGATGTCAATCACTGGATTGTCTGGTCCAGACTTTATTAGTTACAGACTGTCGTCAGATAGCTGGAATATTGCTGAGTGTGGCGTTTAACAACAAACAAACTTTAAATATCCTCACAGCATGCTAAGTATTATATTTTTAGATTTGAATACTTGCAACTCTGATCATGCTCGTGTGACTAAATAATATGTTTCTGTGTCCTGGGTTATCAACAAATAAACAAACAAACAAACAAATCTTATTGGCTAATGTCCACTTCCTGTTAGTCAGTTCATTGCATGGTGAAAGTTTGTTCTGATGTGACCTGTAATGGGATGTCCTCAGATCTTTGGTGCAGTGGTAGTGAGCCCTAAGATATGATTTCGATGAGATTGGATCTGATCAGAACTTAGTGTTGGGAGGGACATATGACCGATTATTTTTAACTTGTGATTGCCTTGATGTGAATCAGTTTTGTGTCACATACCAAATTTGGAAGTAGGTTTTACAGTTGCATTCAGGGAAAGTCATCGTCATTTATCCGTGTAGAGAACTAGTTGTTGGGTAGATAGCAGCTGCTGTGTACTAAATCTCATGAACATCCACTAATCGACTGATAGTGGCTCCATGATAGTTGGTGTTTTTTGTCTACGGTAGCCTGGTTTGCTCTACATGAGAACTTTGTGAAAACAACGTGGTCCAACAGTTGACGCTATGCATTTTCAGTATATAAATGGCCAATGAATGATCTCTGATTACAGAGCTCATCAGTGTATTTGTGCAAGCCCTTGATAGTGATTTAATTTCATCACATCTTCATGAAATCAGTTTAATATGGCTTTTTTTATTTTTGAAGAATGCTGTTATCATTTTTATCTAATTTTAACAGTTGCTTACGAAAATATTGACAAAAATGTCTTTTATATTTTACTTGATACAAATTCAAACAAATAAATGTTTTTAGTCTTTTGTATGATAGTATTATGATGGTTAAAAAAATTATCTATTAGGATTGTCTTTTTACTTTTTCGAACAGATTGATCTGGTTAATAAAAAGATATCGTCAATTTCGATAATCATGTGACGTTTTCATAGATTCCGATGTGATCCCTGTATGAAAGAACTATATAATAATAATCATTAAATCGTTAATGGTCAAGTCTTTTAAGACAAAATCTAAATGCCAAATCCTTTTCATTATGCATTTCTGATGGTCGGGTCTCATTTACAAGATGGTGTCAGGTCCTCCTCAAGGACAACGTGCTTTAACTTACGATTCTCATTGCCAAATGAAACTTTCTACGTTCTGTGTTCCTAGTTTTCGTCCAGTAAAGAAAACGTTGCCAAAGCCTCGGACTGGTGCTTGGTATCAAGGTCATCGCTGACCAATATATCTGACCAATCCCTCTCATGGTCTGTCCATGCTTCATCACAGTGACCTATTTAAGTCCTTGGTTCCATGACTAGTGCCGCATCAGCCAGTTGTAGTAATCCTGGGCTCCATTGCACAAAGTGATCACAGCGCTGCGATGATGGTAAGCCTATGTTAACAGTATGGGAATTCCGATGACCTCAGTGCTGAGATCGCTTAGTGCAAGTGGGCCCAGTACTGTATGGTAGGGGGTGTCAGCACTGTTACAGCAGGCAGGTACTCGAGGGGTCCCCGACATGATAATGTAGGGTGGGGTGGGAATGGGGGTTCTTGGGGACGGTCTGAGGGTCATGTGAAATTGAACAGTTGTTCGCTTGCCAAAATAAGTGTGATTTTCAAGACCAGAAAATTAAATGGTAATCTCGCATAAGGGAGGATGTATACAAGTCTTACTAAATTGGACGAGCACAAGGGGAGTATAAATACTGTCATTTGAGAGGGGTCATTCCTGACTAAAGCATCCCCGTACAACCCCACTAGGCACCGGTTGATGTTGGTGGAAGATTCTTTATGTTGAGTGCAGGAAGTAGAGGATCTATGGTAACCTTTTGTACCATAATGATATTAAAATGGTTAAATAGCTTTTCCTTTAGAATATATTACTTAGTTAATGTTTATATTATTTAAACAGGTAGGGCTGGCTTTTAAAAAGATATTAAGCTACATATTAATGTAATTTTCGAGGCCACTTCTACACTATGTAAGGAGAATTCTGGTTAGCCTGTGATGGGGAAGAATACAGAGAGCTTTATCAACTGCATGTTCAGCTTTAATTCATTTGTATATGTCAGCTGCTGAAGCAGACTTCAAACCAAGCTGTGGGAAACATCTATTGTCTGGTTACCATAGCAACTGCATCGTACCAGTGCCACTTTTCTTGGATAGTTTATTCATTGTAGAAATTGATGCCAAATGTTGAAGTAAAATTACAGAATTCTTTTGCTTTGATATTGACATACCAAAGTGTAGTATATTTTCACAAGTATCGTATGGCTCATCTGGGTAATTCTTCTTGTCCTGCAAGCATCAGACTAACAAGTCCTGTCCTACCGCTATATTATACAAACCCAAAAGTTACGAAAGCGAGTTTTATGAAATTTTGAGCTAACAGATGCCCATGGTGTTCAGCTGTGGCAGTCTTATTCAAAATGGTGATCAAGAAAATAAGTTTTATCATAGAACTGTAGATAATGATAATAAGCTCTTTGCCATAGCTGCTGCTGAAACTACAGAGTACTACATTTTGAAGGGGTTAGCAGAGTACACGTGTCAGTTTTGAAGTTCAATTCGCAGCTTCACCTTTGGTCTGTGATTGAATGGTTGTATGTCAGTCATGTTGTGTCTGCCTTGTAGTCGAACAGAACCCCAGTCCACTTCAGTGCTTATGCCAAAACTTGCTTTGTCCATTTTCTGTCTCCTGTTTCCATTACTTGATCTGTTGTGGCCTTACCTTCATACGCAGACTTGTGACAGACCCTGTGTGGAGACTGGGTTTGAGATGGAGACCCGCATGGCATCATGTCTTATCAATTTTTCCACAATTGTGACAATCAGACAAACATCATATTTCTCGTCAATCCTGTCATCATTAACCATTATTTCATATCGCAGACGAAGGATGAACACTCCCATCATGCATTGCTGGATCTATGACCATCTTTCTCCCAAAATAAGTTTCAATTATTTTTTTTCACATGATTTCGACATATTCTTTTATAGGAACATGTAACAAAAAACATCTTCCTTCTTGTTTGGAAGTGTATTTTGTTTCCCTTGAAGAAGGGTATCATCCACTGGTGGACTGCTTTAGCCTATAATGTATGACATTGTTTATAAGTATTGACTTTTAATTGGCATTTTATCACTATCTTATGGACCATTAAATTGTATATTTAACTGGATTTACCGGGTATTGTTTAAATGAAGTCTGCAATTTTAACAAAATTGTTTTATTTATTATCATTTGCCGACAGTGAGCCCCACGTACCGTGTTCTATCTACAGACATCTGTGTTTGGTGGCACGTACCATGTTCTCTCGCCAGACAGGTGTGTTTGGAAATCTTATATCCTCGATGTCTACCAGTCCTCAGTGTCTCTCTTGTATAGTGTGTAAATAAAGTGTACAAACCTTGCCTCCGACCCCTTGTCTTGTTTCAGTTCGCAGGGACAAAAGGGTCCTACAAGATCCATACCTGTAGTTACGTTGATATTAGTGTGTAGGGCTGGGACGAGTCCAAATCTACTACCCGGGTACCCCCTGTAGATGTTAAGAGATAGGTACAAACTGTCCGTTTTGGAAAAGTTTGACCGTAGCCCTGGCAAAATGTATTTAGATACACGTGTAAAACGATCTGGTCATGCATACGCTAAAGTTTACTGCATGAAGTTTTATCTTTATTCAAACATTAGTGACTTATAGTGCGACCATAGAGTTTTAGATAATTTGTTTCATTAAACAATATATCACGTGACTAACCACGGGCCCGGGTAGTCTTGTAGGTACCCGGGTCCTACTCAGACCTACCCGACCCGGGTACATAAGTTACCCGTCCCAGCCCTATTAGTGTGTAATGTTTTACGCCTCTTTTAGCAATATTCCAGCAACATCACGCCTGCCCCTCGGGGGACCAGAAATGGGCTTCACTCCTTAAACCAATGTGGTGAATCGATCCTGGGTCTTCTGCGTGACAAGCGAACACTTTAACCACAAGTCTACCCCAACTTCCTAACGTTGATATGAACAGTATTGTGTATACTTCGGTACATGCCAGCTTGTAAATGTTTACCTTTTAGATGACAAAGGTCAACAGGTGAGGTGAGGTGAAATTGGGTTTAACTTCGCGTCCAAGATTATTGCACTTATATAGCGACGTGCATGCGTGTGTGTGGCTGCTTGTACTAGTCCGGACTGATGCCGATTTATAGTGCTAGCTCACTGAGATACCATGCCGCAGTTTAACATGAATACCCCACTCAGACACAGTATACTGACTCCGAGCCGACCAGTCCTTGTTTTAGCCCCTTAATGCCGAGCGCCAGACAGGGTAACAACAAGTACAATCTTTTAACGTCTTTTTGTATGACGCGGCCCAGGATCGAACCCTGGACCTTCCGCTCTCCGGGCGGACACTCTACCACAAGACCACGGAGGCGGTCCAAAGGTCAACAGCAAATCTGAGACAAGCAAATACTGGCAACTGTGAATTCATTGACATAATCATGACATGATAGGTGTTGTGTTACTTATTCATCTAAACTGATGGCTTTCATTTGAATTTTAACGTATTAATATGAACTCCGTTATTTGATCCTTGTTTCATAGTTCAACATCATGACCTTGACCTTAAATGGAAGTCACCCAAATGTTCACAGGATAGGGACCCTCAGGTCATAAATACGTTTTTCCAATCCTAAACACATACGAGAACATCACTAGTTGCAAACAGAGGTAGTGTGACAAATATGAAGTGTCCACAGCACACTGCCAATGAATCTAGAAGTTATTTCATGAGTGAACGACCTTCAAAGTTACAAGACATACAGCAGGTGGTTAATTATGGAGAGTGATTGTAGTGAGTGAGTTGGATTTAACGCCGCTTTTAACATTATTCCAGTTATATCGCGGCGTGTCAGCTTAATGTGGGAGGAAAGCCCGAAGTGATGCAGGTCTCAGACGTTTACCACTTCGGTGAAACCCACGAGCACGGGTATGGTGCTGACAAACCTAGAAACATAATCGGGGCGAACCGGGATTCGAACCCACAATCATAGGTTTCTGGCGTGCCCGAGGGACGCAACTCTGCACAGCGAATCGCGGAGCCTAAGACGACTGGGCCACCCATCCCCCCGAGAGTGATTGTAAATTTGATCATGAATTGTTTAATATGTCATGAAAATTTGACCTTGTTTGTAGATTCATAAATAAACATTTTGGACGACTAGACCATGACAAGTGATGTTGACCTTCCATGCCATCCAACAATGTGCCCCATTCCATGGAGTACACAGACACGTGATACCTGATCTACCGTTATCGTCTGTCATAGGTGAGGTGAAATGGGGTTTAACGTCGCATCCAGGATGATTACACTTATATAGTGATGTGCATGCATGTGTGTGTGTGTGTGTGGCTGCTTGTACTAGTCAGGACTGGTGCCAATTTATAGTGCTTGCCCACTGAGATACCATGCCGCAGTTTAACATGAATACCCCACTCAGACGCAGTAAACTGACTACGAGCTGACCAGTCCTTGCTTTAGCCCCTTAATGCCAAGCGCCAGACTGGGTAACAACAAGTACCATCTTTTAACGTCTTTTGCTACGACACGGCCGGGGATTGAACCCTGGACCTTCCGCTCTCCGGGCGGACGCTCTACCACTAGACCACGGAGGCAGTCTCGTCTGTCAAAAGCATGTAATTGATAACTGTGGCAGCTGTGGCAAAGCTCAAAATTGAGCAAACAAACTAAGCACATAACATTCATGTCCAATATTGTGGAAACGACAACATAAGGGAAAAAATGGCATGATATACAGATAATTTATTGCTGTGGATCACAAAGATCGCACACTTGTAGAACAAGCCACAATGTGCTCGCTGGGTGTCTCGCACTGTCTGTCCCCTGGAAGAACGGTTAACAAAGTGATATGCTATTGTGATACTGTTATAGTGTATTATGCAAGTTAATTATCTTCCAATCAAACCCTTATAATTTAAACCTTCCAAAAAAATAACACTAGCATTGTCAATTCTTCAGCTACAAATGTCTGGATGAGCAGATCAATGATCACATGGCAACGTGTGACAGTGTATGCACATGTGCCGTGTAATAACATATATATGTTCCGATATCTGATTAAATTGTCCAATAAATAAGTGGTGATATACCTTGGATGGGTCCTTAGATTTTTGAGCATTTCTAACTCGGGTAACAGACCAAAAACTACTACGTATTTCTAAGAACCTGTAATACTATCACAATAGTTGACAATACCAATTTGCATTACAGCTTAACACAATAAAAAGGTCCTAATATAAGAGACATCAACATTCTTTGGTAACAAAGTCCTTAATCAAAAGCTACAAATGAATAGTTCACACAGAATATTCCTTGTATTGTGACAAGCAGTGTAAAAGGCCAGATGGTAATATATCACAAGTTTTTCGTTTCTTGGACCTAACAGTTGTCATAAATCATACAAATTTCCACCAGTATCCCTTGCAAAGCAGTCGATATGATTATTTCATTAAATGCAGTAACAAAGCAGTTCATAATAAAAAAAACCAAAAGCACCTTCTAACAACAAGTAAGGTAGACAGATAACAAAATAAAATTTGAGTGAAGCTGCCATTGAATGAACACATGGGGGTTATGCAGCCACAATGTGCCCCAGCCACAGAACAATACTGGAAGTACATGGCATACCTGTAGCTATTGACAATATCGAAACATGGCATACCTGTAGCTATTGACAATATCGAAACATGGCATACCTGTAGCTATTGACAATATCGAACATGGCATACCTGTAGCTATTGACAATATCGAACATGGCATACCTGTAGCTATTGACAATATCGAAACATGGCATACCTGTAGCTATTGACAATATCGAAACATGGCATACCTGTAGCTATTGACACTATCGTACATGGCGTACCGGTAGCTATTGACAATATCGTACATAGCATATCTGTAGCTATTGACAATATCGAACATGGCATACCTGTAGCTATTGACACTATCGTACATGGCATACCTGTAGCTAATGACAATATCAAAATCAAACATAGTCCTGTCTTCAAGGACTCCATGACTAGAAGATCCTGTGGTATACAGCAAGTAGGGTATACACACAAATCGGTAAAGACAGTTAAGGATGAGTGAGTGACTGAGTTGGGTGTTACGCCACTTCTAGCATTACCACAGCAACACCTGGGACAAGAGAGATGGGCTTCACACATTGTCCCCTTGGGGGTGTTCAGCATGACAACTGAGTGCCTTCACTGACCCACAACCCAGCTAGCCCTTCTAGAGAATATAGCATTGCACTGACATAGACTTTACTTGCACCAGGCTGTTTAAATAGCTGAACAGTAATTACCCTTGTAAGAGTCTTGGAGATCAAAAACAATTCAACACTGATTATTAACTGGCATGTATGTTAACAACGTGTCTTTTGACCTTATTTTATGCAGATCAAAATCCTCATACATGTGATATTATTCTCTGTGCTGAATGAACCAAAAGAATATTAACAATACTGACTGCACATTGAGCACATTGCCCAGTGCATCACTGTCATTGTAATGTCATGCATAGAAACAAAGAAAAGATCAACAAAACGCCTCCAGAAAATCAATGCAGTAACCCTGTACCTGACTAGATATAAATAGGTTGATTAATGTCCACAATCTTCACCAGTCCTCTATAAATATTCGTCAAAAGACAATTTCTGCTTTTCAGCTAAAGGAAAATCATATATTGTAGAGCATTACCTTCTGGAATGTCATGATTTGTATGTAAAAGAAATGCCTCATAAAATTCATACATCACTATCAAAATATCTTTTGTAAAATACAAAAATCAATGCTCAGTAAAAACTTTAAGCAATGAAAGACAGATACAAAATAAAAGCGTGTCTCTATTTTCCCGATGACAAAGAACTCTAGACATTTGATTTACATTTAATCCCTGAACACTTCCTTCACAACATTATGAGGACAACATACATGGTGAGGGGTCTACATCCCTTCTTTTCTACATAACAACTCGAGGACCTTCACAAGTGCCTCACATGCACTGCACTGCACATGGACTTGACAGGGTGCCTCCAGCTGGGCTTGGGTTAAGCTATGACCAGGTCAGTCTTGCTGTCCTTTGTGATCAGCTGCACCAAGCTTCCATTGGTGGGTCGTTCTTGCCCAACAGTCCACTTGTAGAACAGTCTGTAACAGAACAGCAGTATGATCAGCACCATCAGCAGGGACAAGGAGAGAGCGGGGACAAGGAGAGAGCTGGGACAAGGTTAGAGCAGGGACAAGGTTAGAGCAGGGACACAGTTAGAGCAGGGACAAGGTTAGAGCTGGGACAAGGAGAGAGCAGGGATAGGGTTAGGACAGTGACAAGGTTAGAGCAAGGACAAGGTTAGAGCAAGGACAAGGTTATAGCAGGGACACAGTTAGAGCAGGGACAAGGTTAGAGCTGGGATAGGGTTAGGACAGGGACAGGGTTAGAGCAGGGACAGGGTAAGAGCTGGGACAAGGTTAGAGCAGGGATAGGGTTAGGACAGGGATAGGGTAAGAGCTTGGACAAGGAGAGAGCAGGGATAGGGTTAGGACAGGGATAGGGTTAGATCAGGGACAAGGAGAGAGCTGGGACAAGGTTAGAGCAGGGACAAGGTTAGAGCTGGGACAAGGAGAGAGCTGGGACAAGGTTAGAGCTGGGACAAGGAGAGAGCAGGGATAGGGTTAGAGCTGGGACAAGGAGAGAGCAGGGATAGGGTTAGAGCAGGGACAAGGAGAGAGCTGGGACAAGGTTAGAGCTGGGACAAGGAGAGAGCTGGGACAAGGTTAGAGCAGGGAGACGGTTAGAGCAGGGATACGGTTAGAGCAGGAATAGGGTTAGAGCAGGGACAAGGAGAGAGCTGGGACAAGGAGAGAGCTGGGACAAGGTTAGAGCAGGGACAAGGAGAGAGCTGGGACAAGGTTAGAGCAGGGACAAGGTTAGAGCAGGGACAAGGAGAGAGCTTGGACAAGGAGAGAGCTTGGACAAGGTTAGAGCCGTCCCTTGGACACGCCAGAAACCTATGATTGTGGGTTCGAATCCCGGTTCGCCCCGATTATGTTTCTAGGTTTGTCAGCACCATACCCGTGCTCGTGGGTTTCACCGAAGTGGTAAACGTCTGAGACCTGCATCACTTCGGTCTTTCCTCCCACATTAAGCTGACACGCCGTGATATAACTGGAATACTGTTAAAAGCGGCGTTAAACCCAACTCACTCACTCACTCACTCAAGGTTAGAGCAGGGACAAGGAGAGAGCTTGGACAAGGTTAGAGCAGGGACAAGGAGAGAGCTGGGATAGGGTTAGAGCTGGGACAAGTAGAGAGCTGGGACAGGGTTAGAGCAGGAACAAGGAGAGAGCTAGGACAGGGTTAGAGCAGGGACAAGGAGAGAGCTGGGACAAGGTTAGAACAGGGACAAGGAGAGAGCTGGGACAAGGAGAGAGCTAGGACAGGGTTAGAGCTGGAACAAGGAGAGAGCTAGGACAGGGTTAGAGCTGGGACAAGGAGAGAGCTGGGACAAGGTTAGAGCTGGGACGAGGAGACAGCAGGGATAGGGTTAGAGCAGGGACAAGGTTAGACCTGGGACAGGGTTAGAGCAGGGACAAGGTAAGAGCCGGGACAAGGTTAGAGCTGGGACAGGGTTAGAGCAGGGACAAGGTTATAGCTGGGACAGGGTTAGAGCAGGGATAGGGTTAGAGCAGGGACAAGGTTAGAGCAGGGACAGGGTTAGAGCTGGGATAGTGTTAGGACAGGGACAAGGTTAGAACAGGGACAAGGTGAGAGCCGGGACAAGGAGAGAGCAGGGATAGGGTTAGAGCTAGGACAAGGTTAGAGCAGGGACACAGTTAGAGCAGGAACAAGGTTAGAGCTGGAACAGGGTAAGAGCAGGGACATGGTTAGAGCTGGGACAAGGTTAGAGCAGGGACAAGGTTAGAGCTGGGACAGGGTTAGAGCAGGGACAAGGTTAGAGCTGGGACAAGGTAAGAGCTGGGACAAGGAGAGAGCAGGGATAGGGTTAGGACAGTGACAAGGTTAGAGCAGGGACAGGGTTAGAGCAGGGACAGGGTAGGAGCTGGGACAAGGAGAGAGCAGGGATAGGGTTAGGACAGGGATAGGGTTAGAGCTGGGACAAGGAGAGAGCAGGGATAGGGTTAGAGCTGGGACAGGGTTAGAGCTGGGACAAGGTTAGAGCAGGGACAAGGTTAGAGCAGGGACAAGGTTAGAGCTGGGACAAGGTTAGAGCAGGGACAAGGAGAGAGCAGGGACAAGGTTACAGCAGGGACACAGTTAGAGCAGGGACAAGGTTAGAGCTGGGACAAGGTTAGAGCAGGGACAAGGTTAGAGCTGGGACAAGGTTAGAGCTGGGACAAGGTTGGAGAGGGGAATGATCTTATTTGAAACAAATTCTGAGACAAGCTACACCTGATGTCCAATCAGTGTCAAGTAGAGGTGCCACGATACTTCTAACACATCGTGATTCTCGAGTTTCAATAATTTAATTTCTGTGATTTTTTCCATGTGGCTCAGTTCACAGGAGGCTGTTGCATTTGTTCCATAACAGACAGTAACATAATGCTAGCCCCAGGAGTTAGCATCAGCTAGAATGTGTTTTTACTCATAACATCTCCCCTGTGTTTTTTTCATACATTAGTTCAAGTCATTACCATCAATGTGCTGCAAATCTGAACACAAAAATAGAAAATTATAGCCTGGAAAGATAATGGTTTCATGCAGAAATATTCATTAGCTGTAGAGTTTTGGCAGGATACTTCTTGGAGACTAAGTCCAAATTGTTTCGATAGAGAAAGAGTTGTGTTTAACGCCGCTTTTAACAGTATTACAGTTATATCGCAGCGTGTCAGCTTAATGTGGGAGGAAAGCCCACTTCGGTGAAACCCACGAGCACGGGTATGGTGCTGACAAACCTAGAAACATAATCGGGTCGAACCGGGATTCGAACCCACAATCATAGGTGTCTGGCATGTCCACGGGACGCAACTCTGCACAGCAAATTGCGGCGCCTTAGACGACTGGGCCACCCGTGGCCCCCCCAAATTGTTTTGAAGGAAGGACAAGAAATTAAATTTGAAAACAACGACAACTATGAAAAGGCAATAGTTGAGCATGTGGTCACTGTACATGTTGTGCAAAGGTAATCTTACTTTGAGAGTTATGGTTCAGAAACGAAGCCAAAAGTTGTTTGAGACAGTGCAAATTGTTTCCATGGACACATAAGAAAATTTAATTTAGAAACATTTCAAAATAGCAAGAGGCACCAGTTTAGCTGATGAGCAATATACATATGCCAGGTGTCTTTGATACGTGTTGAAAGCTTTTAAAGTTATGGCCCGGAAACAAAACCTATCCTCGTTTGAAACTAAATTTCCATGGAAACAGAAAAAAATAAAATATTTTGAAAAAATTTAAAATAGAAAAAGCCACTAGATTAGATGATTGCCAAGTTTTGTTGAAAAACATTAAATGGTTTTCAAGTTATAGCTTGGTATAGGATGGGATAACAGTAGCCAATGTCAACGGGAATTAAGCCAAACACAATATGTCTGCCCTCCCTTGTGAGCTAAAAATAATCAACACATGGGTAGGAGTATCATGTATCGTGTAACTTCACAATGCACCAATACATCTACGAATGACACCGCGAGTGTAAACCATCACCGGGACATCATTGCCAGAGCAATCCAAGGGAGATAACTTTGGGTGCTCTACCATGTCCCACATCCACAACATGGAACTATCCCCTTGCCATCATTTTACTGCAACATTTTTAAATGCGGGTTCAAAACTCGACTGATACCTGACCCTCTGCGGGAGAATTCTACATTGATCTACCAACACAGCATTAATAACTTACTCAGCAACAAACTCAAGCGGGGTCCAGGTGCTGAAGTCTGCATTGGACATAAACTTCCTGTTCATGGGTGTGTCAAGGGTCACACTGAAACAAGGACAGAGAGGAATTCATCTTTGAATGTGGCAGATACAGTGAGTGAGTGAGTGAGTGAGTGAGTGAGTGAGTGAGTGAGTGAGTGAGTGAGTGAGTGAGTGAGTGAGTGAGTGAGTGAGTGAGTGAGTGAGTGATATCACGGCGGGGGACACCAGAAAAGGGCTTCACACATTGTACCCACGTCGGGAATCGAACCCCGGTTTTCGGCGTCACGAGCGAACGCTTTAACCACTAGGCTACCCGACCGCCCTGGCAGATACAGACTATAAACTGATGTGAATATATGTGTCAAGTGTCTCACTGTGAGACTGATGGGTTCAGACACAATCACCCATTGTAGTAGTCTCTTATGACAAGCAAGGGGTATTGCTTCATGAAGGAAATTAAGAACAGATCCAGAGTCAATGACTTGGGTTCCATGTCGCTTTAAGCAATACAACAGCAAAGTGCAAACACTGAACCTAGGTGTGAAATCAAACCAAGGCGTCTCCAGCTTAACGACCTGACACTTTAACCAATGGGCTACCCCCATGCTCCAGGGTGAAGAGAATGGTTTTTTAACAATGTTCCAGCAATATCATGACAGGAACACTAGAAATGACATATATATATATATAATGGATCAAATTAAGGGCTTGATTTAACTTGCACCAGATGCATATTGATATGAAACCTAGCTGCTGCACCTTGGCCCATAAATGTATCAATGTTGAAACATGTGCACATAGTTTAATGATATCAAGCATGACAAATTACATATAACACAAGGAATATTGATATAGTAGGGTAACTAAACCTTAGAGGTACTGAATGTGTACAAGGATCGATATTGTGTTGACATGTAATTAGTGTGTGTTTGTTTGTTGTTTAACGCCACACTCAGCAATATTCCAGCTATATGACAGCGGTCTGTAAATAATCGAGTCTGGACCAGACAATCCAGTGATTGACGGCATGCACATCGATCCACGCAATTGGGATCGATGACATGCATCAACAAAGTCAGCGAGCCTGACCAGCCTATCTCGTTAGTTGCCTCTTATGACAAGCATGGTCGCCTTTTACGGCAAGTATGGGTTGCTGAAGACCTATTCTACCCTGGATCTTCACGGGTCAGAGGTTATAAAATACTCACTGAAGGCCTCTACACACTCAGCATATATAACAGCAATAGTGTGATATCCTACACTGGGCCTCATGTATGGAGAGAAGCCAATTGTACGTGCAGCGATAGAAATTGTCACTAGTCCCATAGTCCTTGCCAAACTGACCATTAGTTAAGGTATCATAAGGCCTGGAAGAAATTTGCCATTTTTAAGTGTTTTGCTACATGTTATCATTACAAGGACTACTGGATTAAAACTGTTACTGTTACTTTCAACCTACGGCAGTATGGCAGCCGAGAGGCTGTTTGCAGGCATCCCACTGTTGTCAGCAGCTAGACTCTTCACCAGCTGATGGATAGCAGCCTTGGCCAGACCATACCCAATCATACCTGGGAAATACAGGGGAAACAAGTTCAAGTTTGACCATCATACAAAAACGTGTTTAAAAAATCCCAAACCATCAAAAGGAACCACTAAACCTATCCATGGTTTAGTTTAGTGAAGAAATACTGTAAGGTTTTTGAGACATGCTCCAGGTACAAGCACCACAGCTATTTTCAGTCTAAAGTTGTTGCTATGGAAATTTGAAAAATAAATTTGAAAAGAAACCCAAACTATCAAAATGCACCAGTTCACCTCTAGACCTAACCATGTACCAAGTTAGGTGAAGAAATATTTTTTAAAAGATCTGCTACAGAACCGACATTTTGCATGCACCTACAGTGGACTGACGGATGGACAGTGTCCATTTTAATAACCAATCACACAGGCTCACACAAATAGGGTACATGTTCTTTCTTGACCAGATCACACCCCATCACACCCTATCACACAGAGACCCATACAAGTTCTATCTTGATCAGATCACACCCCACCACACACACTGGGAACAAGTTCTATGTTGACAAGATCTCACCCCATTATACAGAGACTCACACAAATAGGGAACAAGCTCTATCTTGATCAGATCACACCACACACACACCTGGGGAACAAGCTCTATCTTGATCAGATCACATCCCATCATACAAAGACTCTCTCTCTCTCACCCTCACTCACACACAGTGAACACGTTCTATCTTGATCAGATCACTACCGATCATACAGAGGCTCACACACCTGGGGAACAAGCTCTATGTTGATCAGATCACACCCGATCATACAGAGGCTCACACACATGGGGAACAAGCTCTATGTTGATCAGATCACACCCGATCATACAGAGGCTCACACACCTGGGGAACAAGCTCTATGTTGATCAGATCACACCCGATCATACAGAGGCTCACACACATGGGTAACAAGCTCTATGTTGATCAGATCACACCCGATCATACAGAGGCTCACACACCTGGGGAACAAGTTCTATCTTGACTAGATCACATCCCATCAAACAGAGACACACACATGGGGAACAAGCTCTATGTTGATCAGATCACACACGATCATACAGAGGCTCACACACATGGGTAACAAGCTCTATGTTGATCAGATCACACCCGATCATACAGAGGCTCACACACCTGGGGAACAAGTTCTATCTTGACTAGATCACATCCCATCAAACAAAGACACACACATGGGGAACAAGTTCTATCTTCATCAGATCACACACCATCATACAGAGAATCACACACCTGGGGAACAAGCTCTATCTTGATCAGATCACACCCATCAAACAGAGACACACACATGGGTAACAAGCTCTATGTTGATCAGATCACACACCATCATACAGAGAATCACACACCTGGGAAACAAGCTCTATCTTGATCAGATCAGACACCATCATACAGAGAATCACATACATGGGGAACAAGCTCTATGTTGATCAGATCACATCCCATCATACAGAGAATCACACACCTGGGGAACAAGTTCTATCTTTATCAGATCACATCCCATCATACAGAGAATCACACACATGGGGAACAAGCTCTATGTTGATCAGATCACACACCATCATACAGAGAATCACACACCTGGGGAACAAGTTCTATCTTCATCAGATCACATCCCATCATACAGAGAATCACACACATGAGGAACAAGTTCTATCTTCATCAGATCACACCCAATCATACAGAGCCTCACACACCTGGGGAACAAGTTCCATCTTCATCAGATCACATCCCATCATACAGAGAATCACACACATGGGGAACAAGTTCTATCTTCATCAGATCACACACCATCATACAGAGAATAACACACATGGGGAACAAGCTCTATCTTGATCAGATCACACCCATCAAACAGAGACACACACATGGGTAACAAGCTCTATGTTGATCAGATCACATCCCATCATACAGAGAATCACACACATGGGGAACAAGTTCTATCTTCATCAGATCACACACCATCATACAGAGAATCACACACATGGGGAACAAGCTCTATCTTGATCAGATCACACCCATCAAACAGAGACACACACATGGGTAACAAGCTCTATGTTGATCAGATCACATCCCATCATACAGAGAATCACACACATGGGGAACAAGTTCTATCTTCATCAGATCACACACCATCATACAGAGAATCACACACCTGGGGAAAAAGCTCTATCTTGATCAGATCACACACCATCAAACAGAGACACACACATGGGTAACAAGCTCTATGTTGATCAGATCACATCCCATCATACAGAGCCTCACACACCTGGGGAACAAGCTCTATTTTGATCAGATCACATCCCATCATACAGAGAATCACACACCTGGGGAACAAGCTCTATCTTGATCAGATCACACCCATCATACAGAGAATCACACACCTGGGGAACAAGCTCTATCTTCATCAGATCACATCCCATCACACAGAGAATCACACACCTGAGGAACAAGCTCTATCTTGATCAGATCACATCCCATCATACAAAGACTCTCTCTCTCTCACCCTCTCTCTCACTCACTCACTCACACACAGTGAACACGTTCTATCTTGATCAGATCACTACCGATCATACAGAGGCTCACACACCTGGGGAACAAGCTCTATGTTGATCAGATCACACCCGATCATACAGAGGCTCACACACCTGGGTAACAAGCTCTATGTTGATCAGATCACACCCGATCATACAGAGGCTCACACACCTGGGGAACAAGCTCTATGTTGATCAGATCACACCCGATCATACAGAGGCTCACACACCTGGGGAACAAGCTCTATGTTGATCAGATCACACCCGATCATACAGAGGCTCACACACATGGGTAACAAGCTCTATGTTGATCAGATCACACCCGATCATACAGAGGCTCACACACCTGGGGAACAAGCTCTATGTTGATCAGATCACACCCGATCATACAGAGGCTCACACACATGGGTAACAAGCTCTATGTTGATCAGATCACACACCATCATACAGAGGCTCACACACCTGGGGAACAAGCTCTATGTTGATCAGATCACACCCGATCATACAGAGGCTCACACACCTGGGGAACAAGTTCTATCTTGACTAGATCACATCCCATCAAACAGAGACACACACATGGGGAACAAGCTCTATGTTGATCAGATCACACACAATCATACAGAGGCTCACACACATGGGTAACAAGCTCTATGTTGATCAGATCACACCCGATCATACAGAGGCTCACACACCTGGGGAACAAGTTCTATCTTGACTAGATCACATCCCATCAAACAGAGACACACACATGGGGAACAAGCTCTATCTTCATCAGATCACACACAATCATACAGAGAATCACACACATGGGGAACAAGCTCTATCTTGATCAGATCACACCCATCAAACAGAGACACACACATGGGTAACAAGCTCTATGTTGATCAGATCACACACCATCATACAGAGAATCACACACATGGGGAACAAGCTCTATCTTGATCAGATCACACACCATCATACAGAGAATCACACACATGGGGAACAAGCTCTATGTTGATCAGATCACATCCCATCATACAGAGAATCACACACCTGGGGAACAAGTTCTATCTTCATCAGATCACATCCCATCATACAGAGAATCACACACCTGGGGAACAAGCTCTATGTTGATCAGATCACATCCCATCATACAGAGAATCACACACCTGCGGAACAAGTTCTATCTTCATCAGATCACATCCCATCATACAGAGAATCACACACATGAGGAACAAGTTCTATCTTCATCAGATCACACCCCATCATACAGAGCCTCACACACCTGGGGAACAAGTTCAATCTTGATCAGATCACATCCCATCATACAGAGAATCACACACATGGGGAACAAGTTCTATCTTCATCAGATCACACACCATAATACAGAGAATCACACACATGGGGAACAAGCTCTATCTTGATCAGATCACATCCCATCATACAGAGAATCACACACCTGGGGAACAAGCTCTATCTTCATCAGATCACATCCCATCATACAGAGAATCACACACATGGGGAACAAGTTCTATCTTCATCAGATCACACACCATCATACAGAGAATCACACACCTGGGGAACAAGCTCTATCTTGATCAGATCACACCCATCAAACAGAGACACACACATGGGTAACAAGCTCTATGTTGATCAGATCACATCCCATCATACAGAGAATCACACACATGGGGAACAAGTTCTATCTTCATCAGATCACACACCATCATACAGAGAATCACAAACATGGGGAACAAGCTCTATCTTGATCAGATCACACCCATCAAACAGAGACACACACATGGGTAACAAGCTCTATGTTGATCAGATCACATCCCATCATACAGAGAATCACACACATGGGGAACAAGTTCTATCTTCATCAGATCACACACCATCATACAGAGGCTCACACACATGGGTAACAAGCTCTATGTTGATCAGATCACACCCGATCATACAGAGGCTCACACACCTGGGGAACAAGCTCTATGTTGATCAGATCACACCCGATCATACAGAGGCTCACACACATGGGTAACAAGCTCTATGTTGATCAGATCACACCCGATCATACAGAGGCTCACACACCTGGGGAACAAGTTCTATCTTGACTAGATCACATCCCATCAAACAGAGACACACACATGGGGAACAAGCTCTATGTTGATCAGATCACACACAATCATACAGAGGCTCACACACATGGGTAACAAGCTCTATCTTGATCAGATCACACCCATCAAACAGAGACACACACATGGGTAACAAGCTCTATGTTGATCAGATCACATCCCATCATACAGAGAATCACACACATGGGGAACAAGTTCTATCTTCATCAGATCACACACCATCATACAGAGAATCACACACCTGGGGAAAAAGCTCTATCTTGATCAGATCACACACCATCAAACAGAGACACACACATGGGTAACAAGCTCTATGTTGATCAGATCACATCCCATC